TTTCATAACCTAACAAAACTGAACACGAAATTTTATTTAACACATTTTTCATATTATGGTATTTCTGTATTTTCCGGGCATATTTTAGAATTTAGTATATATTTAAAATTTTAAAGACTCGGTAAAACGAAATTCACATTACACAAATAAAAATATTATTTTTTTCACTCATGTATCTACTTAATTATGGGTAATTGAACTTAATAATTAAAATAGACAAGGTTAAATTATTAATCTTAATCACTAATCGGGATCTCATGATATTATATTTTATCGTACCTATCGTAGTCATCAGTCATGAGTTTATGACCATGAGTTTATACCCATCAGTTTATGGGTACTTGTGCTGTGTTTTATTAAATCGATCGTTTTAAAATGCCGAAAATAAACACATTTTGTAAAATTTCGAAAGTGAAAGCTTCTAACATTAGTCGCGTCAATAGTTTCATCTCTGAATATGGTGAAAATATATTTTCATCGAATGGAAATATATTGTTTTGTAAAATATACGAAATGAAAAACGATTTATGGTTCTACAACATCTTAAAACCCCTAAGCACGCACGTGGTATTCAACGACTCAACGTCCAACAACAAATGATTCAACAACTTTTACCTATTACATCAAAAATGAATTCTTTTAATAAAGACCAACACTTTGTTAGCTGCCAATATACCTGTAAATAAATTACAAAATACCTATTTTCGTTAATTTTGGAAAAATACACACATAAGGACATTCTATCGGTACCTATGTTAAGAAGTACTTATGTCAACGATTGCTATGATGAGACAGTGGATTCCAAAAAAAAATAAGTGTTTGGTAAGAAAGTCTAGGTTTCGATCGCCGAAACTACTGATGTAGAATCTCGATTTATTGCAAACGTAATTATTGGTATATTAAATGTCGATGAACCAGGTAAAATATTTTAAATTTTTTCTGGTGTTCTCGAAAAAACCAATCACTCTACAATTTGTCAAATATTTGATAAAGCTCTCTTTACATTATATATTTATGGAATCCGTCATCCCGATGTACTTTTGTTTTTAAGTAATGCCGCTCCTTATATGGTTTAGGCAGCTAAATGTTTACAAGCTTTTCACCCAAAAAATGGTGCACGTCACTTGTGTATGGGCTTACTTATAGGCTTCACCAGGTGGCAGAAAAATTCGCGGTCAATTAAAAAAAAAATGTACGAGCTTATTTCAAACACAAAAACAAAATTTCTGAATGCTCCAAGTCGTATTGATTTGCTTAAAACTGTAGCTCCAAGTATTCCATTACCTCCAACGCCTATATGAACAAGATGGGGTTACATGGATTTCTAGTTAATTGTATTATTGCGAACATATACAAATTATTCGAAATATGATACAGAAATTAAAACCGGAAGACATCGTTTCAATCGATAAAGTTCAAAAATTAATTTCTTAAACCAATTTGAAGCAAATTTAACATTTATTCATTCAAACTATGGATTTTTATCTAATACTATAACGTCTTTAAAAAGTCAGAATGTTTTAGCAGCAGACTCAATTAAATTCATAGAAACTGTGAGAAGTGAAATATATGAAGTTAGTGGTACAAACAGCATCGATATAAACAATAAATGTAAAAATATTTTTTTAAAAAAAATAATGGTTTTTATGTACTTACGAAAATTTCAAAAATATTTTCCGGTGATGTATTCACGTAGGAGGGTATCCTAGAAGATTTGACAAGCAACGATTTATTGCATTATAAATACGCACCTATTACATCTGTTGGTGTAAAACGATACATAAATTTACTAACGGACAATTGTAACGTTTAATACTATTTGAAAACTTATCCAAATCATTAATAGTTCAATTGCAATGCAATAACATCGGGTAAAAATTTAAATGTTAACAATTTAATTAATCTGTTATTTTTTTAAATTATAATTTTTAGTAACATAAAATATTTTTGTTTAGTTTTCAGATGGAGAGAATTCCATCCATTTTTATAAATCATTGACAGTATCTATAATATATAAAAAATAAAAATTATTTAATTAAAAATAGAATATTACAGTAATTTTTTTTTTTTAGAGCATAACTGCACACATATTTTCATATTTTATAGATTTTTAGGACATATAACTGTCGGCCTTAGAAATTAGTAAGCAAATACCATACTCTTACGAAATATCCTGAATTTCAAGCCTGAGCATTAACGAGTTCAAAAGTTAAAATTGTCATGAAAAGTGGTCTTAAATCTATATTACAAAAATGGGTACATATTATTATTGATTATAGAATACAATTATTATTAAAATCATTCCATAATCTATGATATAATTAAATAAGATTGATATTATTAAATATTATTGAATGAGAGAAGAAATTTAATAGCTAATCAACATTTTGAGATGACTCTTTTATTGAGATTCAATAGGTATTTTAATTAACCTGTCCATTGTATTATTTTATTTGTTTAGATTTGAATAAAGTTAAATAATATTATATATTTATTTCAATGTTTTGTATCTACTCTTCCTATATATTTATTGCCTGTATAATTTTATAATTACACTTTCAGCTGCAGTAATTATTTTTAGTTTTCATACTGTTATTGAACATTAATAAGAATACTTTTTCTAAATTATATTTATCATATGTAATTTGTATGAAAAATGAATAAAAACAAATGATACATAAAGTACCATAAATTTGACGTTTGAGTGCTTAAAAACAATCCCAATAAAGAAATGTATATTTTTCTACTCTTATTAGAGTCTAATTAAATTTTTTTTATTTTCATTATCGTTAATGTTAAATAAGATTTGTTGTAAATCGTTAATATGTATTACTTATATTAACGCTTAATTTAAATATTTTTTTTTTTTTTTGTAATTAACTTAACTTTTAAATCGAAGTTAAGTTAAGTTAAAGATATTTTTTAACTTTTTTTACTGAATTTTTTAACTGAATTTGTTTACAGGGGGTTCGGGATGTATACAACACGTCTTTAAAAGATTAAACCACCGAAATTTCGTATAACATTCTCTTAACAATTTTGTTAAACGCATCAATTCTATATATAAAAAAAAAGTCAAGGGTTGCAAGCAGAATAACAAAGAAAAATTAATTTGTATAATTTTGGGATATGCAAGGTTATTTTATGAATAAATTCAATTATGCCTTCCAGAAAAATATTTCACCTTCAATAGGTCTGAGCATCCCATTTACTATTTATAACAAACAATACGTCATAACGGTTAAAATGACACTGTTTTTTCGTTTTAAGCTTAATGTCAAAATTGCAACATTTGTTTTATGTGCTTTGTTTTTTGGTCACCCATATAATTTCTTATATCTTGAAATAAATGAACGCAATTAATTTCTCGTTAATTTTAAATCAAAAAAGCTTATTTATATAGTTTGCTCTTGAGCTTTATAAAAAACTTATTTACTATTTACTGAACAAAATAATTGTCATCACGTTTACAGAGCAACTTTAACAAATATTGTCAATATTTTATAGGACAGTTTTTTTTCCAACAAAAATAATTATTATCATCATGTCTAGCCGAAGACAATATTTGAACACAGAAATTGAAAATATAAAATAAATATGAAAACATTTAAATCCACGAAAATCATAATTATCTATCAATAATAAAAAAACTAATACTTACCTATGTAATATTAGTGTATGTTTCAAGTTCATGTGAAAATCGTAAAATTCAAAGTCACGAAATCTTTCAATGGCAAAAACGATAATTGCAAACTATTTTTAGCAAAGTTATATGATTTGTCAATTGATTTGTATTCGTACATCAAAAAATATTTAAATTTAAAATAATTATTGTCACACATGAATATTTTAAGATACAACATATTTTTCGTATATATTATTTTAATAATATGAAAAGAACAATAATCTATTTCAACAAAACCTATCTACATAAGAATGAGTGTAATAGATTTGTCCCGCACACGTAGATGTATGATTTTTATTGCAAACACTACGACGAAACAATACGTTCATAATACTGTAGGAAAAAAGAATCACTGCACCGTGAGACGGATGCATACGGATCATGCATCGAAATGACTAGGTACGTTCCAGTATGTCGAGAGTACTTCTTCATCCATTCACTGGTCGTGTGGACAACCAGATATTCTTTAAACGACGACTCCGAAAAGTTCCTACGACTCGGAAAATTTCGATCATTTTTTGAAGTGGGAAAAGTGCAAAAATAAATGAAATTCGGTCGGCCGCCGTATGTATTCATTCATGGTTCAAGACACAGTTTTGTTTTTTATAGATTACTACAGTACACTGATATCGATAAATTTATACAAAGAACAAAAATTGTTGATTATCATCAAAATATAAAATTAATTTAGACTAATATGATAAACTGGAATATCTTGTGGAAAATATTTACTGAATGACCTAGGTTAGTAAAAAAGTTATAGGTAATATCAACGAAAAAACAATCACAGAATTTGCCTAAAATCACCTATATTCATTCTAAACAACTAGGCCGAAAATACTATAATTCTTAGATTTCATGATTATTTTCATTATAAAAACTTTTAGTAACTATTATTTTCGTTATTTATTTTTGTTTTTTTAAATCTATGTTTAAGTATTTATAACTAACATGCAAATTTGTAGCAGCTACTGTTCATTATATATTTTTCAAAATACTCATAAAAAATCTTTAACACAAATAAACTATTCCAAATGATATAAATCATTAAAAATACAATTTATTATTACATCTCTTGAGTTATAATAATAATAATAATAAACAAATATAAAGTTTGGAAATTAGCAAAGGCAAGGTAAATTCTATAAACCTTACTAATTATTAAATATTATAAACCAAATACTGTATGTATGTTATACATTTTTACTTAGGTATATCGATTGTTTATTGTTTATATAAAAAAATAAGTTTTAAATTATAAAATAATTATATTAACTAGTTTTATCACATGAAAATAGATTTTGCGTTCAATCATAAACATTGTCTATGTATTAAAAACTTAATAATAAAATATATAAAATAATAAAAAGAAGAATATAAAATTTCTTGACACATTTCACATTGTGACTGAACTATATAAAAGAATATATGTATAAATATATTATATATTAAAAAACATATGGGTAAATACTGACTGGATTACAATATATAAATATTATAAAATTCAAGGCTCAAAATACTACGATATGAATTCTGTGACAGATGATGATCGTCTGGAAGATGATGCCTGTAGAGGTACAGTAGAATCTTGGTGTTGGCCATGGGTAGGCAAGTCCAATAATGTTATAGGTGAAAACCGAACTCGAGCTGTGGATGTAGATGTTATTGAACTATCCCTGGCTGACATGTAACTACTATCATCACTGGTTAAACTGTCTGGTGGAGTCGGATTGGTTGGCGATACTATTTAACGGTATTGCAATTTATTACAATGATAATAATAAAAATAATAATTAAAATTCAAACAAAGTATAACAAAAATATGCATTTTAAATATAAATTTACCTGCACTAGGACTCGATGAGCCAACTGCAGTTTGTCGACTGCAGTACACAGATTTTTTCAAACTGGACCGCAATCTCGACGGTGTACCAGGCTATCATCAAAAATTATATTTAAACCAGAACACAAGTCAGTATATATATAATTTGACAACTGTTAACACCAGATATTATTCTAATGGGCAGTACAATCCAAATTGGGTAGTAGGAAAAATCAAAAGGGCAGTGGACTTTATGAATATGGGCACCTTATAAAAATATAATTTTCCTTGTAGAATGATTAAATTTCTACTAAGTATTTGAAATTTGTGTAATTTATAAACCCAACCTAGTACCTAATAAGTAATAATTATGTAAGTTTACAATCTTTGCTACTTCGATGATTGATTAATCTATGAAATTTAAATTTAAATAGTGGTAAAAGATCTGTATTTTTTTTAATATTTTACCACGAGATGATCAAAATTCTAAAATATCAATGTACAATTTATTTGGGGAGGGGTTAAGTATTATAATTCAAATACATTTCATAAAACAAACTTTTCAGTGTGTTTGGATTGTAGCTAAAAATCCTTAGAATAAGCCCTGGTTAACACTTACTTCTAAGGTAGTTGGTCGCTTTAGAACTTCTTGCATTGTTGGATTATGGTCTTGTGAAAAATAAGTGGTAAAGTCTCTGGCTCGTCTGAGATACGGAAGAGACAATGAAGACTTGTCCGTTTCAGTATTCATTTGTTGCTGCAGAAAATACGACGATGTTTCTGCAGGATCCATAGAAAATGTAGGATTACCACCCCCGCATTGGTACCGAATCCTGCTGAAGGAAGGTGAACTACCTGCGCTACAGATGACATCACTGTTAGCGCTGGGATTGTCGTACGCGTACAATGCTCTATTTTCATAATCATAGCCACTATCTCCTCCTCGGTCGCTGGACAACTGACGATATCCTCGGTCGCTGGACAGTTGACGATATCCTCTGTCGCTTGACAATTGACGGTATTCTCGGTCACTGGATAGTTGTCGATATCCTACGAAAAGTCCATTATGTGATTATTACATCATATAGATACTTCGACGTATAATTATTTACCAGTATGAGATGAAAAGTCACTTTGCTTGTAATAGTCGCTCGACGTGGTACCATAAAAATGCTATAATAACAACGTAAAATAAATAATGATCTTTTATATAACAAATTTCCTGTTATTTTTATATTGAAATCAATTACAAAACCGAATACGTATTTATAAAATTAAAAAAAAACCAGCGAATGCAAGGATATTTAGAGGAAGCCAATATGATTTTAGCGACTAAGTCAATATGTTTTTCTTGTTAAAGAATAAATGTTGTTAAAATAAATATTTTATCGTGAACCTGTCATTATTTATATTTAGTATATGTGGGTATTACCCCCTCCTCAACATAAACGCAAATTCTATAATTGTAAAATTTTCATCATACGAGAATTTATACATAGAAGCCACAAGGCTCAGTGGTAAAAGTTGTGCCTTGAATCACTCAATTATTTCTCTGAAATATAAAGATGACTATTTTTAAGGCCGAAACATAATATTTTAACTAAGGGAAAAAAAGTGTTTCAAGCTGCGATTTCTATCTCAATGGGTTGAAGCTTCTTTTTAATGAAAAATAACCTATGCCACTTACCCTAAACCATATTTAATTTAAAATTTGAGAATTTGAGTATAAGCTGAAGTAATATTTTAATTTTAATATTTGTATCTAAAATACGTCGGATATACAGAATTATATAACAATAATGATTTAAAAATCTATCAATTAAAATAATATGTTAAGAACAAAAAATAATTTTCATTCGAAAATTAAGAATAATTCCGGTTGAATATTTCGTTTTATGTTCGTATATACATTTTCCTGTGAAACCGTTGATAACGAAAATGGATTTAACCAAATCATAACTCACGTCATTTTTGTCATTGTTACAAGCACTACTCGACTTCCTTCGAGGTGATGGCCTGGTTTTTCTCCGTGATCGGCTCAAACGGTGTTGTGGACTATCGGTGAATCGTAAAGGTTTGGCGTCCAAACCTTGCATCAGGGGCGTGCGAAAGTGTTTCGGTGGGCCGTGATAAGTATTGTGTTTATTGGCTGAAAAAATAAATTAATCAATCAAATTGAACACATAAATTATGAGGTTTAGCGCATTAATTAACAAATTTATGAGGCGATCTACAGAAAATCATAAATAAAACGCTACACGTGTTGAAGTATACGTATAATTACAGTGACTCGAAAAATTCTGCTGGTGAAGGTGATGACCAATCGATTCATCGCCCACTTCAAAAGGCACGCCGCGGCTGGATTACAAAACAAAAAAAAATGTAATTACGGTTTGGAAATAAAATGAAAAAAGTTCATTAAATTTGAGTTTTTACCCGTACGAACACCTCTTAATATCCACACCTAACACGAGACCGGCCAACATGGACGCGGCCATGTGTAAGACACTCTCGACCGCAGTAGTTCTGGAAGCTCCTACCGATGAAGATGATGATTTCGACGAAACGCTTGGCGGCGCCGCCGCTAACAATCCGCCTTGAGTGGAATAGCTGCAATCTCCACTACTATCACATGTGGTCTTGTTCAAGGATTTCGGTCGTTCATCGTCGTTTGGCCAAAAATCAGCGGACATCGGAGGACCACCATAATCTTGGATAAATCATAACAGAAAAAAACCATTATTATATCGGAAGTCGTTCGAGTGGTTAATGAAAAATGAAATAAACATTATAATTATTATTATACACAAAATGGCGTCACTTATATAATATTATTAATAGATTTTGTTATAAGCTGGATTAGTCGCGATGAAATAAGAGAAAGAGTGAGTTAAAAAATATTGAGGTAAGTTAAGTTTATCTTTCCGAGAAGCGGAAAATAAAAGTTTATTGATCTTATCTCATTATGTTATATGGATCAAAAAATATTATATGATTTGATTACTAATTATAAGGCCTAAGAGAGTCCAAATAATATAGGAAAATTATTATGTATTTTAAAGATATTACATGGTTAGTTATTTTAATTGGAAAAATTTAATAATACGAATTTATAAGTTTTACAGAGGGAAGTGTTTACTCGGAGAAAATTATTTCATTTAAATATTTATTAGAAAATTAAATAAATGTAAGTATAAATAAATATATATATATATATATAAATATGTTATAAATTAAATAAACATGCTTACCAATTGTAGCGACTAATTATCAACGAAATGAAACATGCACAATCATCTACAGAGAATATTTTAAACTATTGCGCGAAACCAATGAATCAAATTACTTTGATGCTATATAAAATAAAGCTAAACAGTTAAAATATCAATAACAAATAGTAACAAACGGTAATTTATACTTACTGTGTATATATATATATATAAATATATATAAGTATATAGAAACTTACTGTATCAGTCATAATATTATCAATTAGTACATTTTTGCGAAAACTTGAAATAATTTTTTTTCAAAACTAGTTAATATCACTAAACATTTTGTTTATTCATTCATTCTGCATATTCCCAGTATAATTATTATACACAAAAATAATCTAAATAATGATTTATAAAACTTACTAATGATAAATTTTGAAAAAATGTCAAAAAAAATTCTTAAAACTAATAAAAAAAAATTCACTACAAGTATATGATTAAAAATAAACAACTCTAATAAATGGGAGCAATTTTTTTTTTTTACGTACGTGCCTAATAATTTGGGAAATAGGTACAAAGTAAAATAATAATTATAATAATAATAAGTAATAATAAAAATATTAAATAATAATAATAATAATAATAACAGCCATTGGCCTAAGTCTAAAGATATACAAAATACATTTTTGTGATGTGCAAACTGGAATGTGTATTTTTTTTAACTTCAAAATAAATGAAATTAAAAATATTTAAATAAACAATTCAACAGTCAAGCAGTGCTTCAAGCACAAAATATTAAAAGCTTCATTTTGAAATAAAAATAATAAATTTGTAACAAACTAATAACAATTCTTAAATATATATATATATATGTATATATAAAGACCTTAGAACCAAAACCATTTAGTTTTTGATAATATATTTATTTTATTGCTTTTTTCTTTTATTTTTATCTATTCCACCACCGAGAAATGATTTTTGTAAAGGGGTTAAAAGGTTATTATAGTATGTAAGGGATGCAAAAAGAAAAATTATAGACTTATGGTCTCAGCTTCATCATTGTCCTGGTCACGGATACCTATTTCTTGTAAAGCTGCAAAATTTGAGCAAACCGATGAGTGGTGTTTTTCCAGATTAGGTGCTGATCTAGACCATCCCCTGAAAGATGTAGTGGCTGGCGATGATGGATAAGATGGGCTTCCACGAATTATCTGAACACGTTCACGTTGATGGCATGTGCTTGGGCCCCATGTTTTGCCTTTAACTCCGTCTGCTGGCACTGAAATAATTTACACATAAGAATAAAGCCATACATAATATACAAATATATAAATTTTAATTCTTTGAACTTTTTTTTTTTTATTGAATTTACAAGAAAACCATACTACAACAAAAAAAATGTAATAAATAATATATATATATATATTATATATGTAATATTGAGTTTCAAATTGAATAATTTTATTTTTATAAAATATGTAAAAAAAAACAGTTGAACAAATAACATACATTTTTGCTACAGAACCACCAATATTTTTTAAAATTATTTTTAAGATAACTATAATATTTCAAAAATGTTTGAAGAGACTAAAAGTAAATATTTTTTAATATTTTTTTGGATAAATATCTGTCAAACTCAGATTAAGAGGCCAAGTTACAGTAAAAATGTTATTACCACAACGAAGTTACACAAGCTTGGGAGCGATTATATTAATTATTATAATTACACCAACTATTATTTCAAAAGTTTCAGTAATAAATTGTTACTAGCTGAATTACCCAGCTTCGTCCGTATGTAGTTTTTACTTTCTAAACTAAACTAAATTTTTAAATCAACACACATTGTTATATTTTAAAGAAGAAAAAAAATGTTTTTAATTAATTTAATCAAGTGCTAATTATTAGTAGTAGCTGAGTTATAAATAAAAAATAAAAAATAATAACAATAATAATATTTACAAATGATTCTATAATCCTTATCCTTATATATATATATAAAAAAAAAAAAACAGACCTTTGTTGTTTCAATTTTGTAATGATACTATTTAAAATTTTTCCAATTTTTTTTTTTTTTTTGTAAAGTTATTCTTAATACTCTCCGAAGTTAATTCAGTTATTAATAATTAAATTTAAGTTGCTTAATTTTTTATTTTGTATGTTTGAAGGGAGAGAGAAGGTGGATTGTATCTATAAATAACAGTTTTATAGCGTATCATTTAAATAATTTAACAATTTTTTTTTCATAAGGTTAGAATAACTGTTTCTCATATGAACATTTGTACATAGCATTTTCTAAAGTTGGAAGACCTGACTATTAATACATTTATACAACACAAAATAAAACTTTGCATGGCTGTTATATATTATTCGTTAAGGGTTTAAAATTCTATAAGTTTTTTTGTTAATCTAAGAGTTAAATTTTAAGTAATCAATTATTAATGTGTTAAACATATTTGTATCTTGGCATATTATAAGATAATATCAAAGGACTCCCCCAGAAAAATTCTAAAAACCGCCAATTTAAAAATATACAATATATCCAATAATATACGGTAAATCTATGAAATCTTGGAAATCGAGATAATGAAAATATAAGATTAAATATAATTAAATTTTTTTAACATTATTGTTTTATTAAGTTATTAATATTATTTAATATTATTTTAATTAAGTTATTAAGTTTGCAGCTGTAATAGAAAAACCAGTTTTGTCCTATGGTGAAGCACTGGTAATGTGATCGTTAGTGATATAAATATTCTTTTAGAACCCTGAAGCATCACACAATGGTAACAAATTAGCATTTTTTAGTATTAAAACATACTTTAACTATATGCAATAACTCAATAGTACTCAAACTTCATAAGTCATAGAAATATGAATTTGATTTCAAAATAATCTTGTGAAGTTTTACTATTACATTTTTATATTAAAATTTTTGAATAGTCTTTTGATAACTTAATTTCACTATTTTATATAATTTTTTAAAAACATTTTTTTTTATTATTTTTAAGCATAAATAAAATTATTATGAATAAATCTATTTCAAAAATTATAAGTAGAACTTCTGAAGTTTATTTTGATATCAATATTATTGTATATCTATGACTAACTAGTCTTAAGTTATATTGGACATTTGATGTTTTCAAAAGCAGGTTTTTACAGTAAAATGTTGGGTACTGCAAAAACCTCTTAAATTAATCCTACACAAAATATTGAACTGACCAACACCTTATTCACAAAACAACGAAAAAGAGTGACAAACAGTCAAGGAATTAAATAAGCATACCTTGTTACTAAATCAATGTTATTTTTCTACTATAACTACATGTATATATTATTCTTCAAATTCAAAAATTTCTTTTCAGACTAATCGTCAGTAGTAGAAAATTCAAAAACTGCTCTCATATTATCAGTTACTAAGTCATGTTTTTGAACATTTAAGTTAAATGCTAACAATGCATAATACCTTCATTTGCATAAATTCAGCTTCCCTGCAATAGTACAATACTTAAACATAATTCTTTGAGGTAACATTAATGTCTACATAAATCTAAAAAATTAATTTAATTAGTTAATGCATTTTTTTTAAATATAAAAATTAAAATTATGTATTGTTTATTTGAAAATAAATAGTAAAAAACAATAAATAAATCTAAATAGAAAAAAAATACACAAAAAAATATAGTATATAAAAAATATAACGATTACAATATATCTTAAATTAAAAAAAATGTATAAAGATATCATATTTAATACTTGTATATTATATTAAACCGCAATTAATTTTAAAATTTAACAAGTGAATTAATTACTATAAAATATAAGTTAATAATAATTATAAAATAAATTAATAACTTTCTAACATTATTATTAGTTCTTATTGTAAAATACTTAAAAATGTAAACCTGATATTGCTCACACAAAAGGGTTATTAATCATAAATAAATAAATATTATAATAGCTAATAGCAGAGAAGAATAAGCGTTTCAAAACACTGCAATTTGGTACATTTTAATAAATAAATCAAATAATAATATATAAAAATAAATCAAATAATCAAATAATTTATAGGTACCAAGATATTTACTATCAAATGAGATTACCAAAAAACACTAAATTAATATTTCAAGAGTTTACTATAGAAAAAACTAACTTCATATAATACAGACATAGCCATATTTAATTTCAAAATACTAACAATATTAGTATCATAAAATTATAGAAATGCAAACTTCTAAATTAGTATACTCACGTGCAATAGCTCTCAGTCTAGGAATATTTGGGGAACCAGGTGGACTGTTTGGACCAGATGCATCACGATTTTTTCTGTCACCAGTGTGTTGTACAGTTATTGTATGTCGAAAATCTATAAAATTTAAATAAACTTAGCCACTGAAGTTTAAGAACTTTGGAATAAAATAATATAAAATTACCAGACGGAGAACTGATGGGCAATTGGTTTGGTTCTTTTTTTAACATTTTCAAAATGTTAGATTTCTTAAAATGTCCACGTCGTTTATTGGGAGTTGGTATTGCTGGTGAAGCTTGTTGTTGTTGCATTATAATATTCAATTCCCATTTGAGCAGTTCCATCTCACGCGCTTCTAGATCACGTTCTCTTTGTTTTAAATGTTTCTCAGCGATTTGTTGTTGTAACTGAGCACGACTTAATTCTTCTTCACGACATCTCAATTCCTACAATACAAAACATAGTCCTAAGAATAGATTTGATATCCAATATACTTTTACTTACTTCTTCTTTAGAACTAAAAGCCTTAAGGATGCATTTCAAAAAATATTATGGATTTAATTTTAAAATTAAATAACAAAATCTGATATGTAACTAAACATGACTATCTTACTTTTTCTTTTAACCTTAGTCCTTCGAGTACTTGTTCAATTTCTATTTTCCAAACATCTTGCAAGGTATGAAAAGATTCATGAGGGGTTTGAGTAAAAGCAGAATGTACAATCTCATCCAATGATGTCAATATGTCATCAAAACTTGGCCTCATATGAGAATCAGAATACCAACAAGCTAAATAAATAAATTAGTTAATACTGTAGTTTATTGATGAATTGTTGTATTTTTGGTATGAAAATGTACTCATGAATACCTTCCATAAGTTCTTTAAATGGCTGCGGACAAGTTGATGGTATTGGCAAAGTAAGTTTATTTGCGGCAACTCCATAAGCTACAGCTAATGAATCAATACCTTTGTATGGTGTTTGTCCAGTAAGTAATTCCCATAGTAATACACCATAACTATAACACCAAAATATAGTTCAAACTTTGACGATTTAGTTATATCTTTATAAAATTGTAAAATTATATTGATAATTTCTAAAAAATCATAACTATTTGTGGGAATAATTTTCGGTAAGTGTTCAAATTTTACACTTTCACATTTAATAAAAATATATATATATATATATATATATATATCAAATTATCAAATTAGTAATACTAGGTAAAATAGTTAACAACATTACATAAAACTAAAATCAACTAATTTTAATATGAAATAATATGATTTTTAATTGTTTTTTTTTAGACAAAAATATAAGCAATAAAAAAAATACATATAAATTTGGTTTATCTAATTTCTATACGCATGCTTATAATTATTATAACATAACCTCACACAAAGTTTCTGGACAACATTCTAATCATGGTAACAAAGTTTTTTTTGGTTTTTCCTTTATATTGTATATATTAGACAATTGAGGACAATTTCTTCGAGTATCATCAACATTGTCTAGTTTTGGATATTAACAATAATTTCTGAATATAAATTTAAATACAGATTTATTACTCGAAAAATGTTTACAGTAAAACCTATAACTATAATCCTTCATTCACTTGAAATCTAAAATAATATACCAGCTATGAAAAATATACTCATTTAAATTGATAAATATATTATGTATATAACAAATAGTCTGTAGATTATAATAATATCATTTTTTTTTATATTTATTAACCGAATGATAAAGGATCTAATGAATCAGATGAATGTCATATTTATTGTCATCCTTAATAAATTAGCAATATTTACAATGACTTGAAAAAAATAATTGTTTAAATCAATACCATCTTCACACCACAGAATTCAATAAAAATATTAATTATTAACTCAAATATTTTGATTCAATAGCTTTAGATTTAAACATGATGTTTATTTATAATTAGATTAATAAATTTTAACTATTATCTGTTCAAACCTCCAAACATCACTAGCTTTTGAGAATGTTGATTGTTTTATAACCTCTGGAGCCATCCAAGCATATGTTCCTGCTGCTGACATTCTAGTTGTTTTGTATACTTCTCTAGCAAGACCAAAATCAGTGATTTTTAATGTTTTGAATTGTAGATCATTGTTTTCAATAGGTTCATTTAATAGTACTGTAAATAAAATTTTTTAAAAAAATAAGTATTGCATATTTTAAGCTATAATAAAACATATACAAGAATATTACAAATACAAATAGGTATTGTTTTGAAATTGTATTCAAGTCTTCTAGAAACCATATGCAGTCATGGACAGACAACTAATTATCATACAGACTTAAAGTTTACATTCTATAATAATAACACATTTATATAAAAATACAAATGTATTCCATAAATAAAAAAATCATATTTTACAATAAAAATCTAGAAAATGAACAAAGAAATTACTTTATTTTTATTTCAGTAATAAAAATATTCTTATTCATTTAAATACCTATAATTGAATTTGTGGGAATTATATTAAAAATCCATATAATGTTCTTAATAGAATTTTTTTTAATATACAAATGCAAAAGTATATAATTCTACCCCACTTTTAAATTTACTTTACAAACTAATTTTTTCGCAGTACAAATATTCAAAACATTTACTTCTAACATATTATATAAATAGTAAATATTTTTCTCATATGTAACCACTTGTTCATAGAAATAATCATAGAATATCCAGTTTCTTAAAATATGTAATCAGAACTTTGAAAAGTGGTTAAAACTGAAATTGTATTTGAATTCGAAATCAAAATAATTAAATCCTATGTTCGAATCGAAAATTGAATAAGGAAAAAATTAAAACCAATATTAAAATCCAAATAAAAAAAATACTTGAATTTCAAGTTCTATAAATAGTGATTTACTATAAACCAACTAATGATGATAATAACAATGAGTATAATAAATAAATATAATAAATTAAACTCTTTCCCCTAATTTTAGTTCTGGATTCTAGTTTTAAAACCAACCAAACAACACATTTGTGAAACATTCTGATATTAATAAATAAGTAATAAACTAATAAGTAATAAGTAATAATAAAGTATTATGGAAATATAAAGAAATAATTTATATTAAAAATCTATTTCTGGATGAAGGACATATCAACAACCGAGAATTTATCGATGAAGTTATGCGTGCGAAAACAATATATGAGTGCTAACACACTCTAAATATTCTCTAACATGAGAATTTTATGTGCATAATTAAAATAGATATGGCGACATATTATCAATAATCAAGAAAATTATTTAGTCTTGGAAGGATAAGAAAATGAACACGAAGAATAGAGATTTAGAGATCAATTAAAGGGCAGATAATCAAATCTAAAATCTAGGTTATGGTTTAAATGGTACATGTATTTTCCAAAAAATGTTAAAACATAATTTTTTCAACACCACACGATTAAAGGATGAAAAAATGAAGTGTAGCCTGTAGTTATAATTTAATCTTGCAACTCATTTAGTTTTCAATTCCAATATCGAATTTTATTTGATATTTCATTATCATACAAATAAATTAATGTTTCTACGATGTAATCCTTCTTCCTTAATATTTAAAAAATAGTATCATAACTACAAGACCCGTATTTGATAAAAAAACACAATGTACGATAACGTTTTTTTTATTTGATAACAATAGTATAGTCCAGTGGCGTCATTTCAGTTTTTGATAGGGGGGGCAACATTTTTGACCGGCTATACTAGAGATGGGCAAAATTGTTTGAACATCGATATTCGACAAATCGATACATTAATTTTTAAAATATCGATGTATTCGATGTATCGGTGAAAAACTATCGATGTTTAAGAACATCAAAGTTTAAAAACATCGACAATTTTTTTTTCCCCTCTAGTGCTGCCATCTGTTGCACACCTTATTACTTGTACCTTGTATTATTTACTTGTTTAAATAATAAATTTAAGAGTTAAAATACCATATTAAATACTTATAATCAGGTCTCGTAAGTTCATGCATTTGCATGTTTTCTTTGCTACATCAGAAAATATATTGAGATAAAAATCCGTTTCATAACAATTGTAATACAAATCTATAGTTTAATAGAGCATGTTTTTGCATGTTTAGTGTGTATTGGCATATTTGGCATATATAGTTGACTTTATTTATGTTATTAGCGCATATTATTTTATGTAAATTCAGCGAAATCGTTTTTTGTGAAAGTCAAAAGAATATTAGATCAATAAATGTTTAAATTCTTTCTTATTTACTTTTCCGAACTTGTTTATAAAATGTTAGTATTTTATCAATGTGGGTAATTCGTAAATGGTACACACAGTTATTTTTGAAAAATAATTTATTGATTTAAAATGTATACAATTACAACGCTCACAAACAAAAAAATAAAAATGTATAAGTGTATTAGAAATAGTAACGTAATTAATGTCGATACAAAAGGAAATAATAATAATAATAGTACATTAAATTGTAAAATTTACATGGTTATGGTGGACGTGTCGATGGCGGTTATAATACTTATAGCGATAACGCGACGGATACTGAACGACTGTTGTTGTATATGGCTAGCTCTCCCGGTATATATAGAGGCGATAACTTTCTTGATTATTCCTGAACAATCTCGATATGATAAGTGATTAATATATTTAGTCTCGAATGTTCTCGAAATATATAGATAATTCGATAAGCGTCGCGCGTTATTGATTGTCGCCACATCAATAATTTTAATTTTTAATGACATTAAATTTTATAAGTTAAAAGGAGTACCACGAAAACAATGTTATTGCGCACCATTACCACTCTCCTCTTATTGACGCATCCATTGTAATCTATCTATTTTCATCGCAACGTGTGTTCATTAACTATAATTTTAATAAAATGTAACCCAAGAAAAAATATAACTTTTAAAAATATAAATGGATTATTATTTTAAAAAATCCTTAAACGTTTTTTTTCGTGCATAGTTAAGGATTTTAAATGTATATTTGATCAAATATTAGTGCATTATCGCATGCTTATTTATGCGTTTTTTAGTGCATGAACTTACGAGCCCTGATTATAACTGTATAACAATTTTTGTATACTGCATACTAAACAATACAAAAAAAAAAAAAAAATTCTAACTTTTCAAACATAAACATTGATATTTAATTTCGAACATCTTGAACATAAACATCGATGTTTAATCGTTTAATCAAAATTAAATCATTTAAGTTGAAACATCGATATATCGACCCAATACATCAATGTTTTAAAAACATCGATGTTTTTTGCCCTTTCCTAGCCTATACCACCGGGGGAAATGTAGAGTTTCGCTCATACGTTTTAACTTATACTTTAGGTACATATTTTATTAGTTATATTATTATACAACTTAAATTTTTGCAAAGTATAATTTTGTATTTTATAAACATTACCTAAACAAGGTTAATTTAATCCTAAATTAATCTAAGCTGTAAGTGGATATCTTCTATTTTTCATTTTTGAAAATACATCTACTGCATCATCTAAACTGATTTTTGCAGTAATATCACTGTCAACAGCTATAACCATCAAATCACTCAGTCGATCATTTCCCATTATCAAGCGTAGATAGGTTTTAATTAATTTAAGGAAAGAAAAAAATCGTTCATTGGAAGCAGTTGTTACATGAAAAGTTTAAAGAATATTTATAATTTTAAGAGTTTCAGTAAAAGCTTTAGTAAGCTCATTTAAAATTTTAGAAATAGAAAAAAAATCATATAACAATCATCAAACTGACATGCGGTTTCACACATTCGTTCGTGCGCTGTAATGGAAATACACTTTTCAGCAAAAATATATTGTTACCATATTCTGTTTAAAAATAAATCGATAAAATATTATACTGATAAATGTTCTTTATTATAACGTTATAAAATATTAACATTGGTCAACAATATTAAAACTGTATAAAACCATAAGCGAATTCTAGTTAATATATTTTTATTTTTTCAATTATAACTTGAGAGCAACGTAGTTATTTTTTTAATGAAAATTAAATTAATTTCATAACAATTTTATTTTATTTATTAATTACATTAAAGTAATGAATAACGATTAAAGTGATTTATTATTTTTTTTAAAGTAACTAAGCTAACACTGAACAAATGCCAATTTATACTTAACCTTGTTTCTGTAGGAAATACAGAATTATAATTTATCGTTTATAATACTAACATTTATATTTTTAATCATAATAATAATATAGTGGTATTGGTTTGTTATAGTCCCGCCACCCATATAACAATATAAATATAAAATAGTTAGTAATCTAACAATTCGATGAAAGGTATATTAATGTAAATGAAAATATAAAATAATGTTTATAATTCAAAAGGAAATACGTACCATTACTTTTAGATAGGTACCTAATAATATATATAATTATATATAATATAATAAACCGATATACCGATTCGACGGAAATTTTTTACTCTTACATGGCGGAATTTATGTAGCGATCAAAACTGAACATAGGCGTGCGCACGGGGTATGCAGGGTATGCCGCTGCATAGTCTGCGGCTTCATGTGAGGGGCCCAGTGGCGTAGCCAAGGGGGGGGGGGCTAAGGGGGCTTAGCCCCCCCCATGGGCCGTGTTTATATGTATAATGTATCTTGACTATTTAATAGAATCAATGGATGCTCGTTTTAATCAAAGGCTTATTGATGTTATGCCACTTGAAGGACTTATTCCGGCCAATTTAAATATGTATGACGATAAAAATATTATAAAAACTGCTAAAATATATGTCCAAGATCTCCATGATGATACCTCATCTACAATCAGAGCTAACCTGTTTATATGGAGGCAACAATGGAGTCAAAATACTATTCCAAAACCGAATTCTGCTCTTGATTCACTCTCTCATCACACTAATCTTCGACCTAACATTAAAATACTTTTACAATTATTCGCCACGTTACCAGTTACCTCTTTTACTCCGGAAAGAACGTTTTCAGCACTTAATCGCTTAAAATTTTTTTTAAGAAGCACCATGTCGGAAAACAGACTAAATGGGTTAGCTATGGCTAATATAAATAAAAAAGAGCAATTCGATGAAAGTGAAATAATAACTGAATTTGCTAGAAATTCGCCTAAGAAGATGCAGCTGTCAGAGTGGAGCAAGTGACTGAACACTGAAACTAAAATTATTATTATTATTATTATAAATTATATATTAATAAATATTTTTAAAACTATTCTAAAATGCTTGAGTTACGTTTAGAAACTTGGTGGTAGATGGTGAGGGGGGTAAGGCTGAATTCTCATATCCTCTCTTACCTTACTTATCCAAAAAAGTAGTTAGCCCCCCCCCCCCCCCATTTAAAAATCCTGGCTACGCCACTGGAGGGGCCCATATTTATTATTAAGTTAAGAAACTTTAAATTTAATTACCGCCACAGGAAATTTAAATCAATTAAAGCTTAACAGTAATGATATTTCAATATTGAAGGAAAAATTTAATTTGAATACTACATTTGAGTCTGAAATTAAGCTCATTACAAATATGTCTGATAGAACTTCTATTAGAGGGTTATCAACTAAAACAATTGTAGTATGGCTGAATTGGTTATCAGAAAACGACCGGAAAATAATATTTTCAAACTTCAATAAAGCTTTAACACAATTTGCAACAATACCTGTGACAAGCTGCTCGTGTGAGAGGGATTTTTCTAAATTGTCTATTGTAAAGTCTAAACTTAGAAACACTATGTTACTAGAACGTCTTGATTCACTGATTTTAATATTTATCGAGCAAAAGATGGCATCAGAAATCAATATTGAAGATGTAATAGATGAATTCAAAGCATGTGTGCCGATAAAAAGAAGACTTGAACTTTAGATTTTAAGTACTCTCCATAAAATAACAATATTATAAATATGTTAAAATTATTCAAAAGCATTCAATATAGTACATACTTGATCTTAAATAAATAATAAATTTTTTTTTAATAAATATAAATCAAATTTCAAACTACTTATTTCTACAGTGCATTGTTTAATATTCTACTGTAAAATTATATGTGATTATAAGGGAAGTAAAGAAGCTACGTAGTATATATGCAAAAACTTAGATTGTGACTTGAATCTTATATGCGTTAAAAGAAAATGCAAATAAATTAAGGGAAGATTAGAAAATTTATTTGTGAGGGGCCCTATATTTCTTATTGCATAACCTGCGAATAAAGTCTGCGCACGCCTATGAAACTGAACAATAGTGATCCGTTTAACACCATCTTAAAAAATATAGCTGAATTTTGGGAATCACAGAAACCATAATTTTTAACATAATATGAATAAATAAACTCATTTTTATATTTATAATAATTGTTATATGGGTGGCGGGGCTCTTAAGTTTTCACTCGCCATAGCGGAGCTATAACAAACCAGTACCAATATAGTTATGATATGGCTCGCTCGAACGTATAGCGAACCTAGCAGTTAACTCTGGAAATATTTACAAAGTTGAGACACACTGCTATTTAGTATACGTTGAAAACCGTGTTCTTTTTATCAGTGGTAATAACATCTTATAATTGATATCGATGGTAATTCATAAACAGTGTTCAATGGTGTTTAACATTTTTCATTTTGTGAATAATAATATAATGGCGCAGAAATGTATTAATTATCAGTGCAAATCAAAATTTGGTAAAAAGTTTTTATCAGCTCAACAATCCGTATGCAATTATTATCATGTTCCTTTCAAACCCTATCAAAAAGTGTGTAGTATCTGTTTAGAAATATGTATAAAACATTTTAATCGTTTAGGAAAACAAATGAAAAGCCAAGAATGTATATTTAATAATGAATTTCCAGCCCGACACATATATATTGAGTTGTCAGATTCAGATGATGAAGAGACAGAAGATAACATTGCTACATCGATATTAAGTGAAGATATACATGAAAATGATTTATCTAATTATATAAAAACTGTTTGGTATGACTTCATCAAAAATCCAGTTGACTTACAACTACAAAATTGTAAAAATTTTATAAATTCAGAAAAACACAACATAAATGAAACAAATAATCAAATAAATAGTTTAATTAAACAAATTAGTATTGATTTAAGCAAACTTCATTGCAACTTATACAAATTTAATAACTGTCGTCAATTTCATTATGAAAAAGAAGTAAATATTATAGATAACAACCCAGACAAGATTGATACAGATAATGATGCAGTTGTGGTAATAAAAAACAAAACCATCAAACCACTAAATTTACCACCAAAAGGCCAACCAAGAAGATGTTCACTAAGATCAGGAGATAAGGTATATGCAATGAAATATTCAATGTGTCGACCGTGGTTTGAGGCAACTGTAGAATCACCAATCAGTAAGACATATTTTAACATTTCATTCAATGATGATGGAAACAAGAAAATTTTGAATAATAAAAATTTAGCTTACATAAATACAAGTAACACACAGTATCCAATAGGTAGCAGGGTAATTGCTAAATTCCAAGATATGAATATTAAGTTGACAGATAATTTTTATGTGGGTGTAATAGCAGAAAAACCAAAATATTTAAATAATTTTAGGTTTGTACTTAAATTTTAAACATATTTTACTAATAAACTTGTTGAAATATTTTTAAGTTTAACAATTATTATGTACTTAACTAACTAGGTAAATTTTGTTGATTATAGGTATATGATATTCTTTGATGTTGGATACACTCAATATGTCTGCCATGAAGATATACGCTTATTGTGCTATCAGTCAAAAATAATAAGTGATGATGTACATGAAAATGTTAAAGAATTTGTCAAAGCTTATTTCAATAAATATCCAGAACGTATAATGGTAAATTTTAATAAAAAACAATTAGTGCGTGCAGAATTAAATTCTAAATGGAGTTTAGCTAAAGTGGTAAACACAGATGCTTCATTAGTTCAACTAAAATTCTTTAACCAAGAGAATGAAGTACATATAGAGTGGTTGTATAGAGGTTCTAATAGATTAGGTCCAATTTATAATCAATTAAATAAAAATATACATGATGTGCAACCAACCACTTCAATGGTTAATGTCTACAAAAAATTAAATCGACCATATATTAAACTAGAAAATGCTGCGAAAGAAAAAAAAATAATTAAACCTAATAAACATAAAAGTAAAAAAAATGTTATAGAAATTATTTCTATAAATGAATTTTCTTCAAAAAAACAAACAAATTCTGGTGTTATAGAGACTATTAATTTGCCCCCAGACAGACCAAAACCACTTCCTTATAAAGCACATCAATGCAGTCACTTATGTATGTTATGGATTCAATATGATTACAGTAAAACAAAAACAATGAATACTTTAAGTATTCCATTACATTTTGGTTTTGAAAGAACTATAATTCAAGATGAAAATTTAAAATCAAGCAAAGTAGTTTATAAAACTCCTTGTGGACGTATAATAAAGAATGAAAAAGAAATGTACAACTATCTAAAAACAGTTGAATATGGTAAAAATATTATGACAATTGATTTTTTTAATTTTGACTATTTTGTAAATCCATTGGCTTTATATAAAGAAACTGAATATTTTAATTACATAGATGATATATCTTTCGAAATGGAATCTAAACAAATTAGTGCTGTCAATTGTTTAAATCACACGTCCCCCCCACCTTTGAAGTACATAACAGAACGTGAAATTAAACCGGGTGTAAATTTAAATTTAGATACAAAATTCTTGTGTAGTTGTGATTGCACTGATAACTGTGAAAACAAAACAAAATGTTCCTGTTGGCAACTAACATATGAATGTCAAAAAAAAATTCCAATAAACTATAAAGATAATATTATTGGTTATAATTATAAAAGACTATATGAAACTGTATACACTGGAATTTATGAATGTAATGCATATTGTAAATGTAAGAAAACTTGTTTAAATCGTGTTGTTCAAGAACCTTTGTCATCTACATTACAAATATTTTTAACAGAAAAAAAAGGTTGGGGAGTAAGAACTCTTGTTGATATACCAAAAGGCAGTTTTGTTTGTACATATATAGGCGCAGTATACAAAGAAAAAGAGGCTGAAATACATGGTATGAAGTATGGTGATGAATATCAAGCGGAATTGGATTACATTGAAATAGTTCAAGGGATTAAGGAAGGATATGAAACTGATGCAGATCAATTAGATATAGAAAGTGATAGTAAGAGCAGTTCTTCTTCTGAAGAGGAAGAATTCAATCCAGGTCAAGTGATTAAAAGTAAAATTCCGATTGAATCAAAAATGTCTTTAAGACAAAACATACAAAATACTAATAAAAAAACAGATGGTAAACATCAATTATCTAAATTAAATATCAAACAAAAAATTGGAAATCAAAAAGAATCTTTACGTAAATACTTTGATTACAGTGGTACTTATATATTAGATGCTAAATTCAGTGGAAATGTAGGTCGTTATTTTAATCATTCTTGTGATCCTAATATATTCGTTCAGAATGTTTTTGTCGATTCTCATGATCTTAGATTTCCATGGGTTGCATACTTTGCATTGACTTATATTGCGGCAGGAACAGAATTGACATGGAATTATTCCTATACTGTTGGAAGTGTGGAAAATAAAGTACTAGTATGTTACTGTGGATCAGAAAAATGTAGCGGAAGACTCATATGATTTTTTTAATTTTTTTTTTATCAACCTAAATGTTAAATATGTATGTATATACTATGTAATGTTAAACAGAATAATTGAAAATAATTGTTTTGTTAATCAATTAAAATTTCATAACTTCTTTAACACTGTTTATTTTTATTTTTTATAATTCTACTGAAAATAAAATATACTACAGGCTGAATTAAACTTTATATAAGGCATATAAATTAAATTATTTACAAAAAATAATTTGTAATAAATATATATAATCAACAGAGTTATGGCTATCTATCCAACATTAGAATAATTTCCATAACATAAAATTCATTAACATATTAATGGCTAGTTTTCTAAATAATAATTTCTTATGACGTTGTGGACATCTTTATATTAAAATAATAATACATAAAATAATTTCAAAATTATAAACTATAAATTATATTAATAGGTGTATATTATAAAATTATAATATTTATGTAAGGCAATATATATATAAATACGTAATGTACCATATACTTATATTATATTATTATAATATAATATAATATTTATATAGAAACATAAAAACATATATGGAAATACTCCTTTACTTTTTGAACTAATTAATACCATGTAAATGAAATAAAAAACGATTTCAAACTTAGAAATGTATTTTTGGAAATATTTGAATAAATATAATTTGTAGGTGTATAAAATAAATGAAATAATTTCTTAAAACACAAAAAACTTATATAAAATTAAATTATTTTTCTGATTTTATCTTTTACATAATTCAACATTTTTCAAATAGGTTAGGATAGATACTACTATTTTTTTGATTGTAGAAATATTACTTCAATTATCGAAATGTTTGCAATACTAATACATTTTGATTATGTTATGAAGATCTAATATATCTGATTATACTACAAAAATTAATTATTTACATAATAATTAAAAAATATTTTAAAAGTATATATAAATGTAAATATGTTTCTGCTGCGATTTCAAATTTTATATAAAAACAGACTTTATTTTTACAGTAAACATAATGTAATATGTCAATGTAATTGTAATATTATGTTGTTTGATAATATTAATAACAAAAAAGTAACTTTCATTTATAATTTTACCAATTGCTATATAAAAGCATAATTAAAAATATTATTTATAACTAATTTAAGAACTTGTTTTAAAATTTTTTATTTTTAGGCCAATATACGATTTTATAACTAACAAATATGTAAGTTGTGTTACTGTATACTTTTTATTGTTATAAAAAAAATACAAAAATAATCTCAACTTACCATTTGATGACTTTAAGTCTCGATGAATCAATGATATTGGTGCTCCATTATGTAAATAATTCATTCCTCTAGCAATTTGAATGGCCCAATCAACAAGCACATCTGGTCGTATTTTTCTTCCCATCAGTACACGATTAAGTGAACCTCCACGTGCGTACTCCATGACTAAGCATAAATTTGGGATTTCTAAACAAACACCCAACATTGACACAATATTTTCATTGTCTAATAACCAAAATAAATTTGCCTCTTGTTTGACATTTTTTAATGTTTCACTAATATCTTCGTCTGGATCTTGACGTGCTGCTTTAACAGCAACCTCTTTATTATTCCAATAACCACGATAAACTTTTCCAAAACCACCAACACCAATTACTTCTTCAAGTTCAAGTTCACTAAAACCGATTTCTGTGATGTGGGCATTTTCCACTACTGTTGACACATTCTCCAAAATATTATTTTCAGTGACAAAATTTGCAGGGAATATGCCAACCTTATCACCGAGCTTACCAGTCCACCAGCCTTCATCTCCAGATATTTTTACATCAGTTGAAAGCACCTCTACAATGTCTCCTCGTTTAAGGCTCAACTCATCTTCACCTTGGGCTTTATAATCAAATATAGCAGTCCACAGTGGCAGGTTGGCTACTGCTGGTTGAGATATAAATTTATTCGTGTAATACGTAGATGATGAATTTACGTATGAGGTGTTTGGACCGTGAAACTTTGTTCTAGACGCCGAATAGGGATTGCGCAAGTTAGGACTGCCAAAACCTGGACCAAGGTGTTCCATGGACGCCACCGCCGGAGGCATACGTTACGGCTGCTACCTGATTTCTACGCCACTTTGTTGATGTGGAAAAATCTCTAACATCATTTGACAACAAGTTTTTAAAGTGACTTAATATTCTGACACATTACAATATTATTATTATTATATTATTGGCTTATCAATGTTTTGAATACAATTTGAATGGATTTGACATCTAGTCAATTTTCTAATATTGCAATAGTCATTTATTAGCGGGATTTCCGTAGAAATTAAAGTTTTTAAACCGTAGCTGTCTAATGAGAAACAGTAACGTATAATTTATAAAAAAAAAAATTAAAAAAAAAATAAAAACAATTTAAATAATAATAATAATATTAAATTAAAAGTATTCACAAATGTTTAGTCGCCATTTTGAATTTTAAATTCTTGTTATCTCTTCGAAATATTATTACTTTTTCGACGATATGGAAACTTATTTGAGACATCTTTGGAATAATATCACATTAAAATGATTAATCAACCAAAAAGAAATGAATTATCAATCATTGGCATAGATAGTATCTACAGCCGTTATCTTCAGTTCTTTTCTTCTCCGAGTTGATTATAAACCAGCTTTAATACTGCCTGCTAGTACTTTTAAATACTCAAACAATTGTTTACAATTCTGATCGGAATTTTGTCTATTAAAAATTAATATTATAATTAATTGTAAATAATATTTTATAATGGTAGATAACAATGTAATTCTTCTAGTGGATCCTTTCTATGCTGCATGCATACATTTGCGGAAACATAATTATGATAAATGTATTGAATGTTGCACGGGTATTTTATTGAAAAATCCATACGATCAGGTAATACTTGAATAACATTTTGGAATAATATGTGTATTTTATTGCTTATGATATTATGATTTTCTGGTTGATGTAAATATATGTATCGTGTTTTTAGGATAAAGTAAATTTTTTATCAATATTATTCATATTAGATTATAAATATGACGTATAAATATTCTATTTGAAAGAAAAATATATATTATTTTATATTTAAATTTAATGTAATTTTAACTATCATTTTTAAGTATAAATAAAATGTAATAATTTAAACCAAAAATCTTCAATAGTTATGTTTTTCACATCTAAGATTTTACATTTATCTAAAGTAAATGAATTAGTTCAGTTCTTACCTAACCTACATGATTTTTAAAAAAGAAATTTCTGTATATATTTTATATAAATTATAGAATTCATGATAATAGGTACAATCTGCCTAAAATAAAATATATTATATTTTCTAACAATAATTTTTTTTTTACGATCCATTATAAAATACTTAATATTATATCTTCAATTTCATATTATGAATATTATAGTTTATATCTTAATTTCATTGTACATTCAAGGCTACTTGGGCTCTAAAAATGCGTGCATTAACTGAACAATTATCTATCGATGACATTGAAGCTGAAGAAGAAGGTATTGCTGATTCTTATTTTAACTCTGATGCAATAGCTGAAAATGCTAGAATAGGTACATCACTGAGGTCAACTCCTAATTCTTGTAACCAAAGGTAAGACAAAGTTAATCAATTTTATGGTTGAATATGAAATATACTGTTTATTAATTTTTTATATTGAATGATTTGATACTGTATATTTTTATAGACCTCGGACAATTGATGGAAGACCTTTAAGTGGTATTGTTCGTCCTTCAACTTCATCAGCTGGTGGAAATAATTTACAAAAAGCTTTAAAAACTCCCCGCACTGTTGGTTCCTCAAGACCATTAACTTCACAATTGGCCAGAAATATACGTCTAGGTACTGCATCAATGGTTTCTCAAATGGATGGGCCTTTTATTAATATATCTCGTTTAAATTTTTCAAAATATGCATCTGATAAACAACTTTCCAAGTTATTATTCAACTACATTTATTATCAGCAAAATGATATTAGAAATGTAAGAGTATTATTAATTGTTTACTCTTATCATGAATTTTATATATTTTGAATACAATATTTAGGCTTTAGATTTTGCTGTGGAAGCAACTAAATGTTGCTTTTTTGAGGATCCTTGGTGGAAAGTACAGTTGGGCAAATGTTATGTGATGTTAGGTTTACTACGAGATGGGGAATCACAATTTAGATCTGCTTTACAACATGGACCTAATATTGAAGTGTTTCTACGCCTTTCACGATTATTTGTACGCCTCGATCAGCCATTAAGTTCATTAGACATATGTCAGCAAGCATTATCTTGGTTTCCAAACGAGGTTACATTACTTATAGAAATGGCTCGGTATATTCAACAATCGTAGTTACTTTTTTATTCTTTCACCAAGCACTTATTATTATTATTATTATTATTTTAATTTTAATTTATACATATAAATCAAATAGCCATAGTACTTTTTTATAATTTACTCGCACTGTTTTTCACATATTCCTAGTACACTATCATCAAATTTAAATTAAGTATTGATGGATATAAGTAATATAAATATATCAGAACATATTTTAATTTGTGCATAATAAATATTTAAGTACTAGCAGTTTTATCTTATTTAGTTATGTTGTGAGTATATGCAGATTATTGTACTATAAGTTATACTCAGTGTGAAATATTATTTATTTCAGAATATTTGAAGGCTTGAATAATATATCAATGTCTGTGAAGTATTATAGAGATATACTTGAATTGGATGCAACCGATATGGAATCTATTGCGTGTATAGGGTTACATCATTTTTATTCTGATCAACCTGAAGTAGCTTTAAGATATTATAGGTACTATTATAATTCTAATCAATATTAATTTTCTTATTGAATTACAATTTTAACATCATTGTTCTTTAACGTAGGAGATTGCTACAATTGGGTTTATATAATGCTGAACTATTTAATAACTTAGGACTATGCTCATTTTACGCTCAACAATTCGATGTTGTCACAGCATGTTTTGAAAATGCATTACGATTAGCATTAGATTATAATGCAGCAGAAATTTGGTATAATATTAGCCACATAGCAATTGTATGTATTTGAGTATTAATATTATATTTATTTAAATAGTTTTATCATTTGTTTTTTAGGGTTTTGGAGATTTGGATATAGCTGAACACAGTTTGCACTTAACATTATCTTTAAATAGTTCTCATGGTGCAGCTCTTAATAATTTAGCTGTATTACAGTGGCGTAAAAACGATGTAGCTAGAGCAGAATCCTTGTTGAACTCTGCCATAGCTGCTGAAGATCATCTTTATGAACCGCACTATAATAAAGCTTTACTAGCGCAAGAGGTAAAATATATATTTAATAAGTAGAGCTACAAAAATCAAATGTTTATGTTTATTTTATTAAATCTTAATCATATCATTGATTAAAAATATTAAGAAAATATCAGCTAAATTTTGGTTGTCACTATCTAAATTGAAATGTTCCAAAAACATTTTTCATAGAATATAAATGGTGATTAGGTTTCATTTATAGTTTAAATCTTTTATACTATGAAATTTATAAGAAAATCTTTATTGTAAAATATCTATGTATAAAGAAGTTACAGAGATTCCAGTTTTAGATTTTTTAAATAGTAGTAATTTTGTTAGTTGATATTTTATAAAAAATAAAATTTTATAAAAAGTCCTGTTCTCAAAAAAAATTCAAAAATATTTTTCTTTTTCAATTTCATGATAAAGGTTTAAACTCAAGATCTAACATAAAGTCCAAATTGTGTGTCCCGTGTGGAGTACATTTGTTGTGAGATAGAAAAAAAAATAAAAAAATATGTAACCAAATAGAGCTGACATCCTCTTAACTTATTTATAAATAAAATAGTAAATTGTATAAAAAAAAAAAATTAATATACTTACAATTTATTTATGTGCTTTTTTTTAAATGATTAAAATAATTTAAATCAATTTTTATGCTTAACTGAAACATTTAACCTATAAGAAATTTAGTTATTAAACTTCTCTTGGTATAAAGTTCTATACAAAACAATAACAATAAAGAATATGAATATAATAATTTTGTTTTATACCATAAAAATGTCAATGATAATAAGATTTTATGTAAATAATTCATAAAAATATATTATATTATTTAATTTATCATATTTTTTAGGAAGGTGATCACCAAACAAGTTATGTTATGTTAAAGAAGTCACTGGAAATATATCCCAATCATTACAATTCTAGAGATATTTTAAATAAATTAAAAAAATATTTTTCTAGTCTTTAAAAATGATTAATTTGTCTATAATTTATTAATTAATTATTTAGCTTTATGCTTCATCTCTTGGTCATATCTTTAACATTTAATTAAGGTAAAATATTTATTAAATACAATCTATCAGGTAACATTTTTACTTATTAGTCAAACTGTTTGAAATAAATGTATGTTCTTTTTTTTTTTTTTTTACATTTTCAGTAGAATTCTCTAATGTAGAATGAATAAATAATTGGTCATTTGGATTAAGATATGTTAAAATCCTATGTTAATTCCTTTTTTTGCTGCTATTGGTAAAAATTCACCTTGTAAGTATGGGTTGAAAGCCTGTGAAAACAAACATATAATAAAATCTTTTAGTTATTTCATTTTATTTTTATATTCAATTAAATCTGTACTAAAGGGAGGGACAACATGGGGTTATACTTGAGCACCACTTATAAAATAGCAACATTTTGTATATTGTGTATAACATAAAATAAGTTTAGAAAGTTATATGCTCTTAAGGGGTATAAAAAATGTATATTTTAAAATGTAATATTTTATTATTTTTAAATCTGTTAACATCTTGGTTTAATAAAAATGATTCTAGTCAAAAATTAACTAAACCATTATAGTGTTTTAATTAAAAAATAAATTGTCTCATCCAATAATAAATTTTACGGTTCTGTCAATATTATTATAGAATAAATGTACTCATGATATACTTACTCATATTATAAACTCACCTTTTTAACATGGAATTTTTTTGCTACCAAATTTTTATGTTCATCCTCTACCTTTAATTAATTAAATAAATTAATTAAATTTACATTTACCACAGGAAGATCATGTATCTATATACAACGTTAATTTTAATACCTGAAATTTTCTTACTAGTTCGTCCACGTCAACACCATGTTTGGTACTGGTACTTGATCTTGCACAATCAAACATGTGTTCAGAATCACACATACATTCTTGCGATTCTTGGTACTCACGGCTAAATGCTGCTGTATTCTCAAAGTCTGTTATACATCCATCTTCCTCTGAATCATACAATTAGTATTAGATCACCAATGTAAAATTAATTATTGTTTTAATAGATTAAAACACGTTTTATCTTATCAATAGAATTACAAGAGTAAAAGATACCTGTGTATCCTACTGGACATGGGTTTGGAGGGTTGCAGTAAGCTGGTAATGCAGCATCAGTTTTAACTTCGTTTTTGTTCCTCACTGGATTTTCAGGATTTAATGTTTGAACTCCTTCGCCAGCACCTCCTAATAATAATGATAAAGCACAAACAAAATAGAAAAACACATTAAGTTATTTACAAGTCTTTAGAAAATAATGCGTTAACTACCGCTCATGTATTGTGCACCCCACAATGTACTGTGTTGCATGTATTCATTGTCCCTAATTGATGGCACAATGTTGGTCTCATCCACTTCATCTTCGTAATCGGTCGTGTCCTTGGGTTCCTGTTCAGTTGTCTTTATCCTACCAAATTGTACATACTTACTGTCCATCTCCGACTTCACAATGTCTTTTTCTAATTGACTAATGACGTTTTCTAAGAGTTTACTTCGCATGTATTCAGAGTCCTTTCAAATGTAAAAATAACAATTACTATGTTTGAATATCACATTTATTCATGTAACTATTATATTAATACAATCTGACAAATTTCCACATTTAAATAATAAAATATAGTATACTATATATGTTTAAATGTGATCTAATTTTTTTTTTTTGTATATTCACTAATGGTAGAGATTCAGTTACAATTTAGGAAGGACATATTTTATTTTAAATTTAGGTAACATATAAATAGAGTGAACCGTATAATAGAATGTGTTACATCTTACTTAAGATATTTTTGAAGAGGGTAAGTCTTTCTAGTATCTGCCTATGAGTATATAAGAGTACTAATTGTAAATATTTATAATCATGTTAAAATACTTTTTTAGAATTATAATTATACAACAAATATACTAATTTGACTTTATTACTAAAAACTTTAGTAATGTACCAAAGTAACTACTTGTGATATTTTGTATTAATGTATTACTAACATTCATTTTTTTAAAAAAAATAATAATTAAGTTTACTTTTATTATGTAGGTATAATAAATAATAAAGATTATTATCAAGATTTAACACTTCTTTATTCAAGCTTATATTTCATTAAAAGTTTACATATGGTAAATAAATTATTAAAAACGGGAATTGCTCATGAAGGTTTATAGCTGTTTATCAAAAAGTGTTGTAGCATATTTTGTAAACAGAAATTTAGAATTGATTTTGATGTAAAGGTTTAATTTTAATATTATTATTTTAAAAGATGTATGCACTACATTTTTTATAGTAAAATCATTTTATAGTTTTTATAACAAAAATCAGTTAATACCTACATTTAGGTGCAATATGTTTACAATATAATATATATTAGCATTAATAGAAATATAAGACTTTAAGCTATAATATTCTTATAAGTATAAAATTTGAAGGTTATCTATCCATTCTCAAAAAAATTAGATATTCAAGATAATACCAAGTTGTTACACATAAAATATTTAGAAATATTTTATTTTTTTATACATTTTTTTGATTAAAAACTTTCAATCATCTTGCGCTTTAAATATTAAAATGTGCATCAACGAAGAATTATTATACTTAGCCCTTATTTAATAGTAGGTACCTAAATGTTTTTTCAATAATTTGTTATAATGGTATTTTTACTTTTAATGTGGCAAATGAAATATTTATGTATTTATTCATAACATTATAATACAATTATTATTGAACTTTGATTAAAACTATCTATCGTACTTTTAATGAAAACATAAGCGTTAAAATAACAACAACAACAACAAAGTTTATCTCCAATCTCCATACTATAATTGTATGCGAATTCGTACTTTTGTAGGCGGAAAGTCGTATATTGTGCTTAAACTTAGCTGAGTGGGCGAAGTGGACAGTATGGAAAACATCCAACATGAAAATACCCGTATATCAAATTTTAATTATTAGTATGCTAAATAGTTCTATAAATGAAACACCTACGTTATACTCATATATGTATTACCGTGAAAAGGATATTTTTATAATGTTCGATATACAATAAAACAGATTTATAAGCCCATCAAACGCATACTCAAAAAAATATTTTGGGAGGGGTTTTAGGTTTGTATATTTTCATAATTATGTAATATAGGTATATACTAATTTTACTATATAAAAACATAGTTAATCTTTTTCCTGAATTTCTGGAGGGGTTTGAACCCCCCCCCCCCTCCTTATGTACGGGCTTGAAGCCCATCAAAACCTAACAGTTCATGTGAAACCAATTATAAATAACATAAATTGTATCCGATGCGTCCGTTTTCGCATTGCACTCGCCGCACATTTTTACAACAAACAGTAGTACCTACATTATTGTATTAAAACTTAATAATTGAATGATTAGGTATTAAATAAATAAATACGTCCGTCTGGTCAGTAGCGCACACAGAATTTTTTTTCGGGGGGGGGGAGGGTTGCTATTAATAATTTACTATAATAATTAATACTGTACCTAATGTTACATTAATGTTAACTCTATGCAAATATATTGTCAGGGGCAGATCTATAACTTAAATTGGGGAGGGGTCATTTTTTTGAAAGGACAATAAGATTATATACAATTACAAAATAATTAAAGTAAATTATTAATTAAAATTAGAACGTTATAAACATATGAAATTGTTCATTTTTAAAATTAAATAACAAAGTTTAATCTTCTTTGTTTTATTTTTCCAAATTTAGAAATAATATTATCAATATTTATGGGTATATTCTTGTGAATATAGAGCAAAGAGGTGAAGCGTTCCTCCCCCATGTTTGAACGAAACCATGTCTTAAGGAGATGCCTGGGAGTATAGAATGATCGCATGCATAGTATTTTTTTTAACAAGTTATTAGAACCTTAATTAACGATGAGCGGTGCCATAGCAAGTATACGGTATAATATTATATAGACTTACAGGTAACGGATTGATAATAATCTTATCTAAGTTATCTTTCTGTCGAAGGTCAAACACTCAAACATTTATGCAGATTTACTATTATATTTATATTTATTCACCAACAATATTATAATATATCAGTAAGTTTATAATCATTATTAATATTCTTAGAAGTTGGATGGAAATTATGATTTTATGAACAAGTGGTGATGTAGTTTAAATGTATATGAATATAATATGTTGTATAACATTTTTTTTCCGGCTTTACGATCTATCGAGGATCTTTACCGTATAACATTTTTATTGCAAGAAAAAATCTAATTGAAAAAAAATTAAAAACGCAATTTATGCATATTTTAATTTTCCAATAAACACGAAGGACCTAATCTTGATGTTTTTCTGGGAGGGAGTCATGACCCCCCCCCTGGATCCGCGCCTGCATATTATTAAACGTTGTACAAAAATAGTGATTACTATTTATATTTGTAGGTACCTACATGGAAAATAAACCCTTATCATGATATTATTTGTTATTATTCAGTATACTTATAACTTCTTAATTTATCATGAATCAATATAAGGTCAACGAAAACTAAATGAAAATTGTTAACTTGTTATTAGAATAATGTATGCATAATAGTATAATTTTATAAATGTAATGCCAATATTGTTTGTAAAATCGTTCGTAAAACTTAATTAGGTAAGGTTAAAATTTAATTAAGGTAGACATTTGGTGGGGGGGGTTATGACCACTTCACCCTCCTGTGTGTGCCGCTACGTCTGATGCGTCAATAAACAAAATGATTTGTTTTTCAAATTGTGTGGTCTGATGTGACACTATCCAGATTGGACAGGTTGTATCATGTTTGCAGATTTGTTTTTAATTTTGGACGTAACGGATTTACTTTGGAAACGACATAAAATTAGTAACATATTCTGGGGTGTATTTTTGCAATAAATAACATACGGTATTTTATTATAAACAAAAATTTTTTGTAGGTAAAACATTATTGGTACTTTAAATTTAGTTTTTATGTAACTGTTGTAATTTTGTTACTAACAAAACAATATGGTATAATCTTAAAATTTTTTATTTTTGGAATTATTTCGTTATCGATTTTGAATTGAACCTTATTTCTTAGATATAGGTACTCTATACTTGACTAATTTAATATAATACTTAAACAGAGGCGAACCAATTCTAAACCTATCATTTCTTACATTATCATTATATTGTATAGCTATTTACAAAATTATTTAATAAATATAAATTTAAATATACGGGTATTTATAACTAACAACAAGCGAGGATTTTGGTAGGTTAGGTAAGTTAAGATGGCTTCTGCCATCTGGTATTTTAATACAATATAATAATATTATATATAGGAAATGGTAGACCGAAATGTAGTATTCTCAGACATAGTTATATTGTTTAATATTTTTTATCTAGACAAGTCCTATAGTTATTCTCACTTGACATTTTAATTGTTATTATTAATTTACCAAAATATATTTATTGGAGTACAGTGACGGAAATTTGGAGTAATTATAGGAGGGATTGAGTTATCCATATCTATTGGATTTACCAACGCCACTTGGAAATATTGATTCAAAATTTTGGATTGCATCAAAAAAAATTTTCTTGCAAAATAATTAAAAAAATTAAACAATAAAAATATTAGTAGTCTGAATTAGTATTGTTTGTGTCTTTTGTACTATATGTGGCCACAGGAGCCGGCTTATTTACGTTAAAAATATCAAAAATTTTCAACTATAATTTAATAATTATAAAAAGTATTATAATAACTATTACTATTATTATTACTTGTTATAAAAACAAAACTTACAAATAATGATTAAATTGAAACACTACACTAAATCAAAAAAACGAAAAATAAAAACTAAGCCTGAAATATGTATAATATGTATATTATTTAAGGACCATCCAATTCAAAACATTTTCTTCAGCTTAAATTATACTACATACCATTACGAAAAAAATAATACCACTAAAATTCGTTCGCTAATTATGCGTTTGTGCGCGTATCGTGTTCGTTGCGACGGCAACCATGTATAATACCCAACAATATTTATCCGTTTTTGGTTTAACGTAAAGTAACTGCTAATGAACTTGTATTTTTCGAATAACATAACTATATGTATTTAAAAGTATCTCATAATCTTTCTATTCTTATAATTACATTAAATTTTGGTTTAATATTAATAAAATAATAACAATTATATTATAATACCCACTATCACATGTAAATTATTATTACTCATATGAATAACTGCTATGATTTTATTTATAATTTTATATAATTTTATCGATGTTTATTTTTCATAACAATATAGTCTTATCGTTATATTAAAGTTATAAATATTTTTATGATTATAATAATAATAATATCCTTTATTTCGTATTAGTATTTAGTAGTAACTCGTAAGTACAGTGTCACTGTAAAATGTAAATGCGGTCCTTTCTATTATTGATTGTATTATAATTTTAATGTACGATTTAGTTACACAATATAATATTATAATATATATTGTTATTTTTTTTTTTTAATGGCCCTTCAACCATATAATTTTAAACTAACAATGGATGATCTGGGAACAGATACGAATTAAAACTAAATAGTCAATTTCGGCGTCAAAAATCCGTATACGATGTCACGATCGTTAACATGATATTACACACGTTTACTGTAGTGAATGTATGGTAAAATCGTATTATAATTTATCTAAGTTTTATTTTTGTCTACAAGATTAAATCAAAATGTGGTATAATTATATAGTCTTTCCATTCATATAATTATATCACATTTATAGGTACTCACAGGTAATCTTAAATACATTTGATTAGTTCATTCATTCAAAAAAAATTAGTTCATTAGCAATTGTTTTATGTTAAACTAGAAATTGATAAATATTTATATGACCCCCGTCTAGGCGAACGAATCCGTGCCGTCACGCGCAATGTCAAAAATCACCCTGACTAACAAACGAATTTTAGTAAATAGTTAAACTCTATTTTATTTATATGGTAATAAAAAAATATTGATTTTTTTTGAGTAGAATGGTCCTTTAATATAAAATATCCACGTCAACAATTACAGTTGAAAATTTGCGCTAATTATAGTCTGTACTCGGTAGTAAATATATGTCAAGTGTGGAGACATAAATATGATGGAACCACGAACACGAACAGAATTATGCTTAGTCCGTGATAAGAAATTTTTTATTATTTCTAATACAAGTCTAAACATCAGTGACAATAATAATGAGTCATAAATAATATATTATTGAATTACCGTCGAAGCTGACAAATTGGACAGACATAGATACAATTGATTAACTGACCCAAATTATTTGATTAATGTTGTTCGAAAAATCACAATGTTATTAATTTTTTAAGGTATCAAAAATTAAAATATTTTTGTTTTTTGTAACCCATTTTCAATTTAAAAATTGTCAAGAAATTTCACAATTATATTTGTAAGTTTGTGACGGTAATTATTAGTCATTTTTTTTTTGTTGCTAGAACCGGACGACAAGGGCGGTTAAGACCTCTACTTTGAACTTTTACGGGGACTTGGTACCATCAAGCCCCCCACCCAATTTCCGCCTATGTTGGTGTATCTATAATAAGCTTTTACTTATCGGTACTTCGCATAAGTATATAATATAAATCTACTATGGAATGTCTCTAAATATTTTGTAAGAAGGACGTATAATTATATTATGTAAACACAATCAAATTAATTTAATATGTGTGTGTAAAGCGAACGAGAACCGCAACATGCAGAACCCGATATCCACCTGCAGCTAAAATATCACTGGCAGAAAAATAGTCGACACAGCAACCTTATCAAAACTGACCTCGCCACTGCAACAAGGGTATCTAAATGTTATCCTCATACAGGTGGTAGACGTACCTACTACAAACGTGTATTCATATATATAAATATACATTTCGTATAAATATTTATCGTGAGTATACGTAGATAAACTTACTTTTGTATTTCCTGAGTACTTTCCAAACGCGATGGCACAGGCGGGTACCAAAGCAATGTACAGAATGATAACGCTCGTCGCCATAATGATGGAGTTTTTCGTATGCCTGAAAAAAACAGATGGCACAATATTGTTGTATAAAAAAAATATGAATATACCACGGAAGAATAATATTGTAATAGAACCCGTGTAGAATATTACACCGCGGTGTACTGCAGTGCTGGATACGGATTGAAGGCAGTCGCGCTGGCGCGTTAAACCGCGTTTTTGTTAGATTTTTCACAAACTTTCGACGTGGTCGCGCAACGATTCCCACCGATGTGCAATATCGTATTGTAACATACGGATTACTACTGTGGTGAACGAAGCGCGCGCTCGTCCCCGGACTACTAATGCTGGAGGGTGTGTGTGTGTGTGTGTGTGTGTGTGTGAGTGTGTGCGTGTATGCGAGTGTGTACATGCATTATTCGTTTTATAATTTTCCGCACGGGCACCCGCAGCGATCGGACGAACGCCCATAAGGACCCGATGCGCACGACGACGATGATGATGATAAAAATAAATGTACTTCGCAATACACTACAATTATTCGTATTTTTAAGATATCATAATATTATTCTAGTTACAACGTTCCAGCATCCCCGATAAGCACTCCTTATGCTGGGGGAATCCGAATAAAATATAATTCGTCCTTTACTTGGTGGAACGGCGGTGGGGGGGATGGTATGTATACCGATAGTATTGCAACAATAATTGTTCCGATGACGACGCGTGCGGTTTACGCCGCGTGTGCCGCGAGTTACATACGTTATTCTGATCGGGAATTACGTAATGCATGCGCGTATTCCTTACGATTATTTTATGCAAATATCTACTGCAGTGCAATCAACAGCGGTTACCCTCCACCCACAAAACACGACCGTTATAGCTGCTACTGTTGTGTTCGTTACGTACGCTTACAATTTCGTTACCTTTTTCGACGATATGACCCGCATAAATGTTTGTCCACTGTTCCACAGGTAGACGACGCGTCAGCGGGGGCGGCGAGTCGTGTGGCGGCGGATCAATAGGCGCGGCCACCGACGACGTGCGTGCGTGCGGTGTGTGTACGTACGGCGTACACGACGCGCGCGATGTACCGTCGGGGTAAAAGCTCCGGCGGCGGCGGCGGCGGCGGCGTCGACGACCGGCTACGGCCAAGCAGCCGGACGAGTCGAGCGCCCGCGCCGGGTGGTGGATGACGCGCCTCGCGACGGCGGCGGCGCGAAACACTCCGTGTGCTGTTGTCGTGCCCGTTGTCGCAACATCATCATCATCATCATGCACGCTTGCAATAATACCAGTGCTCGACTTGGCGAAATCAAAGAACGGTGACTCCTTTTGCTTTAAAGAGAATAACGTCCCCGAGACTTGTTAAGCGTTATACTTATAACGTACGTAACAGTAGGGGGACGCTAAAATTTCTGTAAATTAGTTGGGGTACCCCGTCCTCCTGCGTCCCCCCTCAAGTCGAGCACCGAATAATACGGACGGGACTGCAGGGGAAATCGACGAACAGAACTCGTGAGAATCCTATTCGATTGTTCGTGTTAGTAAATTGTAATTAATACCGTCGGGATCGATTACTGTGGACTGTGCACTTGTATGATATTATTATTATTATTATTTACTCATCATCGGTATATGCGTACGGACGGGACTCCAGTGGAAAAAAGATTACATTATAATGATGATACAAGCGATACGTTTTGCGACGAGTGAATGAATAGATTACATGAAATTAAGGTGTAAAAGTTTGGGTAGCGTGGAAGACAGACATGTAGGAGCATTTAGTAGAGAAAATGAGGGACAGAGAAACGGGTGTAGCGATAATGAACACAGAAATTCATTTCTGCGAGTAAGGAGGCAAGAAGAAGTGATCGACTTTATTGGGTAAGAGTAAGGATAATACGAAAATACTATACCGAATGTTTTCTATCAACAAGATGTATGTGTGACCCGAACCGATGAGGCGTTGAATAATTACGAGGGAGATATGATGTTAATGCTTTTGTTGCACATCAATTGATAACAACAATTTAATTAAAATAACATGTTGTATGAAATCGGGCAATATAGATCAACGAAACCGATTTATAATTATTTATAACTAGCGATAGTCTAATTAAAAGATTTACTATTGACAAGGGAAGCACAGGATTTTATAGTAGTTGTGCCACTGATAATAGGTATAATACAGAGAGTACGGTATAACCTACGATTTATAGTTTAATGATCGCCGAATCAGTATTCAGCACATTTCACCAATAGCATTTGATTCGAACAGTTTTCTTTAATAAAATAAGGAATATAGGGAATATATGGCCTAGTTTATGTACGAGGAGTGGATGTTTTGGATGTTTTAAGTTTTAGATGTTCAATGTATAAACGATGCTCATATCTAAACCGATTGCATTTTAGTTAATACATTTTACAAGTGATAAAAAAAAAAACCTAACCAGTAAAATAAAAATTGAACAGTCTTATTATGTAAAAACGTCGCTGTGATCGAATAAAAAAAGTTGTAGTATAAATGTTGTTCTAAATATAATGTTGCACTCCGACGTACGGTGGTCTACCACCGAAAAGTGTATACAATATTGCTACAACGTAAAACCGTGTATTATGTTATGTGTTCACCGTTGAGTATAATATTGTATAATATAAACTTTTCTGGGATATCCTCCGTCCTCAGGAGTACAGGCTTAGAAGTAATGCAGGGTACAATGTACAAAGGATTAAAGAAATCGTTATTATTAGTATACGCTACATGCATTAAATGTACATTTACAAAGGAATATTTTTATTTCACTTTAAGTACACAAAATAATAAATAATATACAAGTACTTACTACTATACATTTCATGTATATGGAACACGCACAAATACCATATTATTTTATGTTATGCTTAATCCCTATGAAAAAATTTACTTATTAAATTTAAATGATAGGTGAGTGCGTGTGTTTGTAGTAAATACCTATTCTCGTTTCTTGTATGTACGTACCTATACGTTTACAACTAAGTATTCGTTATTAGTTATTACTGGAGTGCAGATTTTGAAAGCATTTGATTTTTGATGTGAAAACATTAATGTTTAGATTTTTCCTTTTAGGAAGTGATAATTTTCGAGCGTTACCTTTTTCGCGTAACGCTCGATACCTATATATTATTAAAAGGTAGGACAACTTTTATGACAATTATCCCCGAAGTTCTGCTTAACCTTTTTGCATAGTTTTTTTTTTTTAAATGTGAGTACTTTTTGTAGAGTCAGACGGTGACACTTTATGGTTTTTTTTTATTGCTCTAAAATGAAGCTATGTAAGGTATAATTAGCTATAATTAGCTATATTCGATTCTACTTAGAATAAAATACACGACATGATATTTTGTTTTTTGTTTTTTTGCGTTTTTTGTATATTAATTTTTGTTTTCGATATTTTGGGTACCTTTTTTTCAAAAAGTATTCTAAATAAACGTATCTGGAATGTTAATATTTATTTTTACATTATATAATGTGTTCCAAATCTTGTTCAATCATTTATTGACAACCTTTCCTCGTGTGTTCAGTTTGTCACGTACCGTATGATATATAGTTGATTAATTTATCTTGAAACGACAATAAACCCTAAAATATGCTTTTGCTCTGGAAATTATCTACTCAGAATTACAGTTTAGTTTTCGTTATATCACCGCATAGTCATTTACAAAATACCAAAAATTATTAATTTTTTTTTAAACCCCATTTTTAATGATTTATATAAAGTTTTTTTTAAAAACTTATACTGCCTTATTACTTTTTTTTTAGTGATTTTACTTTAGTTTTCTAATGTTCTAAAAGCCATACTCTAGTTATTACCATATCGTATATTCGCATCCATAATGATTTTAAACTGTTAAATTATCTGCTTACTGAAACTTGTAAAGGGTTTAATATTTATGCATTTGAATGATAATTTTTAATCATTAGTCATAATTATTAATTGGATACGACGAAATTTCTATAATAGTATTATCTTATAATTATATGACCAGCGCTCATAAGAAAAAAAATAAACGCCTTAAATAAAAAATATAAGAGCTTTATACTTTTAATAGTTTGAATTTTAGTTATAATATTAAAAAATCAACTTTTTTTTATTATTCAACTGAATCAACAATTTATTAATAATGCAGATTTTAAAAAAAAATTATCACTTATACTAATTATTAAACAATTTGATAAAGTTAAAATTATTACTATATATAACAAATTTATAATTTAAACAATGTAGCAATTTATTAGTTTAAATTATAAAGAATATATTATACTACCTATATAATATTATATAGATAGAAATTATTATATGACTGTATTCGTTAATTTAAATTTTACACCAACATTGAAATTGTCATTATTAATAGCATTGTTAATTATTATTGTTGTTATCATGCTCATTTTTATCATTATTTTTTATCACTGTAAAAATATGCACTACAATATTGCACTTAATTTCAGACAAGTTTTCGCCTGGAAGATTTTGGAAGGAAAGTTTTCTTGCGCAAACTTTCAATCAACGAATTTCCGCTAGACGAACTACTTTCATGTTCTGAATCGCTCGTTTGATAGACTCGTTAATATCTTATTCGGCTTTTTTTCAGCTTTTTTCAACATCATATTTATTTAGCTACACGTTACTTGTTCTGTATCGCTATACCCAAGAATCCCAACATTTATTTTTTCTATATAATAAAATGAGGCAATTGTGAACGGACATAAGTGTAGTATCGCTTTTTATCTTATGTTCTGATTAATTTTCGTCATCTCCATGCTATAAGATATATCAAATTAAATCCTATTCTCATTGCACTATTCTGCATGCTGTACATCGTTAATTAATCTATATATCAGAGCCGCATTTAGGGAGGGGCACTCTCGTAAAATATCATCGTCAATTCCTTCCACATTTAAAAAAAAACCCAAACAACTCATTTATTTCAATGTATACATTTGTATGCATTTTCCACTTATATTGATTGAAAATAAAATATTAGACACGTTTGTTTTCCAGTCAATCATAATTCGTAAATCGAACTCGACAACGACGACAACTATGACCACGAGATTTAAAAGGGAGAGATATAACAAAAACAATTGCTTGGTAGTGTGTAAGTAAATTATTTGAAATTATTAATATCAAATTTAATAATCTGATGGTTATAAACTATAATACACACATAGAGATATATATGAAATACAATACACACAATTTTATGTTAGTGTAACGAAAATAAAAATGCATAGGTCCGAACGCTAAATAATAATAATATGGTTTTACTAACATATGCTAAACGCCAACAGACGAAATAACTCAGTGGTTTAATATATTATAATATAACTATTATAATTATAATATTATAATATTATATAATTGTTATTAATATTTTTCAATAATAAATTAATAATTTTTCCTAAAAATTAGTTTATACATTAGAAAATTTCAAAATTTTTATTGACGCCGTCAAAAAATTGCAGTCCCTAAAATTTTTCCGCCCGGGGCAACTGCCCCCTTTGCCACCTCCTTAACCTGGCACTGTATGTATATATATATACATACTGTAATATTGTATCCTTCATGGTTTTGGAAATAGGAAATTGTCAACATCCCATAAATAATCATCTAACTGTATTATTATTAAATCTAATACACCCATGTCTAATATATTAAACAACGGCGGACTACAGACAATTTGATTACCCCGTCGCTGAAAAAGTCCAAACGTTGCATATCCCGAGGGGTTACTTTATCGTCAATATTTCAAAATAACAAGTAACCTAGTTATGGTTGTATGAAATGTATATCAAAAATTTTAACTTAAATTTATCTCAATTTATATACGGCTTTATCTGTTCTGTATAGTGTAAGTATAATTAGGGTTGGCGCTGCAAATATTAGCGACCTACCTATACGAAGCCATGTATTTGCGTCCCACCTCTCTCATTATTCAATTACAATTGTTTTTTAGGTATAAATTTATGAATAACATTATTTAAAAATATTACCCTATACTATCAATGTCGAAATATTACGATAATGTATTACCAACCAACAGGGGTGGATCTAGGATTTTTATATAGTGGGTGCTAGTTTGCATATAATGGTCCTTATAAGGTACTTATAAGTTAATACTTGTAGTTATGATAAAAAAAAAAATTTAAGCTTAATCAGCTAGAAAAATCGGTTTTGCAATGTGAATTTGTTTTGGATATTACATAAACGGTAACTGGACGTTCCCCCCACTCGGGAATCTTAATGGTATTGGACGTTTCTCTCCCCCCAGACTGAGATGTTCCCTCCTCCTGACTCAATATATATTTTTTATCACTGCCCAAACATAAAACAATTTTTTATTTAAATTTTCAATTATATTTATATATTAATTTAATAATTTATGCATTTATTTATTTGCATTGTATATTATTATTGTTTAATATTTATTTTTTTTTGTCCGGGAGGAAATTGTCCCATTTAGGGGGAAAACGTCCTAGATTATACATAAATAGTTTGAAATAGATAAATTTTATTTTTTTTTTAAATATGTAGGTTGTAGGTACATAATACAATGTATGAATTTTAAAATTTGTTAAAATTTATAATCAAGACTTACCAGTCCTCTAAATTTTCAATAATTAATAATACGAGGAACGGTGAGTGCTTCAGCACTCTAAGAAACCCCCTTAAATCCGCCCCTGCTAACCAACGAATATTTTACACGGAGTTATAATGAAGTGTTTTTGGTGAATCAATGTCACAAAGGTTTTTATTTAATCTTAATACTAAACAGTAGCGTATTTATGAGGGGGGTGCTGGGGGTTTCCACCCCCATCAAAATATTTGAAAACGTCAAATTTTATAAATATCAGTAAAATAATAATTTTAGTTTGTTTTTTCAATAAAGTATTAAAGTATAACGAAAAAAAAAAGTATATATACAAAAAAAATATTACTATCGTTAATAATTAAATTGTAATCAAATAATAACTTGAAATAGTGAAAACAATAAAATCACGAAAACTTCAGTATCTAGGACATGTTATGCGACATCCAGAAAAATATAATTTACTACAATTAATAATTCAGGGTAAAATAGTAGGAAAAAAGAGCCGTGAAAGACCTCAAATTTCTTGGTTGGACAACCTCCGAAAATGGTTCAATACATCAACAATATCTTTATTCAGAACAGCCATTAATAAAGATAAAATTACTAACATGATTGCCAACGTTCGTTAACGAATATGGCACTCGAAGAAGAAGAAATCAAATAATAATGATAACAATCGATCACACGGTACTCACAGACACACGGTAATAAATAATCTGATGTGGGGAAATTATCGGTCGATATGTCGATGTCTTTGTCATGCTATCGAGATTTAGACTTTTAAACCGATGAAGTTATTGATGATTTGGCAAATAAAAAACGAAAACTAGAATTTATAATATAATTTGTAATTTTTTTTTTACAGTAGTTGGTCAATAGTTTATATTTCAATAAGATAATAAAAAAGCTAACAATAAGTTGATAAAGAAAATTTTATACTAATTTATAAAATTATTTCACTATTAGGTATGACACTCTTCCCAAAAAAAAGTTTCTAAATACGCCACAGGTACTAAATATTTAAATATATTAAATTATAGCTGACACAATATTTATGATTGTGATGAACGTAGCAATTTTTCTGATCGAAATCGAATACTTAGATACAAAAACAAAAAAATACTCATCGTGGTAAAATCAATACATAATTGGTAAAAAAAAATATTTTTTATTTTGGAATCGCAATAGTGCGGAAAAGTTATAATTTGGTATTCTAAATGAGAGAAAAATAATTAAAAAAAAAATTTATTTTACAAAATAAAAGTTTATTTTTTCAGTTCTCGCACCGAGTTTGAATAAAACAAGTGTTATAGGCTATCATGTATAAATAGAAAACGTATGTGATTATGTAACACAATATTATATGTATTGCGTAAGCCAGCATATTGTTATATTTAACTAATTGATCGCAGGGTCGCATTTAGGGAGAGGCACTGTCTATAATTGCCCCGGGCGACAGTTTTTTGGGGGCACCAATATTTTGCAGTCAGAAATTTGCTCACTTGTGAATTATTGAACTTTTAAAATTATTTTGAAATTATTATTTTTTTTGTTTTTAATAACAGTATTATAAATTAATGTTAATTTATTATGCTTTTTTGAATTTAAACAACTATGAACTATGAATGTATTTATAGCAATATAGCTATTAGCGATCCAGAATATTATTAATATACCTAATGTTAGTGCCCAAATTTGTTGTGATAATATCAATAACCATAAGTTATTTATAATAATACAGCGTATTATGTTATCGCGTGCTGTGTGAAGTGGTGTGCCTACTACACAAAAATAGCATTTTAGAATATCTAAATAGTTTATGAGGATTTATCTCCTATATTTTCCGTAAGTAGGCCCCTTAGAGGGGTATCAATTTTTTTTTGCGCTTGAGCACAAAATGTTTAAATGCGGAATTGATTGGTCTTGAGCCGAGTAATAATTGGAAGGTGCATCAAATGTTAATCTATAATCCTTGAATAGGAACAAGGCCTATGGCTGGATATTGCTAAAACAACAAGTCCTATGACGTCATATAAAAGGAATATAAAAGGATGGCGGAAACGACCACAAATCAGATGAGTTCTAGTCACGGAACTGCAAGCAACGTCACTCAGTATCAGCATTTTGTTAAACACTTTGAATTGTAAAATAAACGAATTAAATATATTAAAAGTTAAAGTCTCATGTCTAATTAATTAAAAATAAACACATCTTCGACTGCACAATTTGAAATCAAGCCGGTGGCACGTAACACGGGCAAAAATTAAAAAAATTTACAACTTCATAAAAATTAAAAAATTTTTATTTTTAAAATGTATTGGTCATTAAATAACAGTATGAGGATCTATGGTCATAAATGTATAAATATACTGCGCTGAATAAATTAAAAATAAAAGTAGGTAATTGGAAAAATGTTATACTCGTATTCGAATATCAAATTTGCATAAGCTTTTGTCGTCACCGAATATTTGGGATTTGATAAGAACACATGTATTAATATATGTTGTTATCATGTTACGTTCACACGTCACACGTGCTCTATTATCACATGTGTTCTATCACATAATGTTCAATTTAATCTGTACTATGGTATAATGTATTTAACAAAATCTTATTTTTCTAACTGTTGTTTGATTATTTGTTATTCGTAAGCTTATTGTCAAACCTATGATCGTTTATTTACCTAAAAATTATTAAAGAAAACCTGAAATTTAGAAAAGCATTATGAAGGTAGTCGTACAACGTGTTTTGAGAGCAAAAGTTTCTGGTAAACATCTATACATACGTTTTATTTAGACAATTTTATAATCAGATATCATTCTTTACATTTTTACACTAATTCTCAACAGCTATATCGTTGTTTTAGTCTATAGCTTCTAATAGTTCTGTAAATAGTATACTAGAATCATGTAAATAAAACACCTTAATAAGTTTAATATTTGAAATCTATATCTGCATATTAAAATCGATAACGTATTATTTTTAATTATTGATTAATTTATTCATATGTGTAATAAGTAAAATGTAAATTTTAAAATCATATGTAAATATTTTAATAAAAAGATATATTTTATTCAATATTGTATAGTTATTTTTTTTATTTATTTCTTTATTTCTTATTGTTTTTCTTATAGTCATACCAATAGTTTTAAATGGTAAAAATAATATAATTTTTCTTTAAAAAGTTTTTTAGAAATAACTTTATATTTTAAAATTGTCAAAATAATTTCTGTGTTTCTGTTATAAATGGTGAAAATTCTTGATATAGTTTTTGTTTTAGATGTGCACTATGATTTTTAATAACATATTTGAATATAATCAATCACAATTAGTGTCTATAACATTTTTTCAGGATTAAAAATTTATGATTGAGATGAGTTCATTCACAAATCATAATACCTTCAATTTTTTTTTGTGATGAATCTTAAGTTATTCTTTATTTTGGTTTACTATTGCATTGGTACTTAGTACTATACAATATATTTTTTTAATATCTACCATTGATTATAAATTTAGTATAAATTAATATTTATAATCAATGATATTTATATACAAAAGTATATGTTTTTACTTTTTAGAAAATAATTATGGACTTATAGTTCTATTTTACAACATTTTAATTTCACAATAAAATATTGAAATTCAAAAGTTACTTAGTTTGTTATTTAGTGATATTCTAGAATAGAAAGTTGGCTACTGTATTAAACTTATTAACTTGTAATATAAATGGATTTTTAAATGACAGTTTATACAGCCATTTTATGGTATCATAGATTTGAATTGTTGAATTAAACATACATTAATTTTCAATTCAATAAGATTACATAATATAATATATTATATTTAGCTTAAATTTTTATATTATTGTCGTTGATTGAATAAGATTGTTTTATAGAGATATTTACGTATTAAATTTAAATTTTTTTTTAAACTATTGAAATTACTGTGTATATATATATATATATATATATATATATATATATATATATATATATATATATATATATATATATACATATATTAAAATACATGAATTATGTCTGTTTGAATACTTAGTATTAGTAATATTAATAAATGCATTATTATTATTAGTGTTATGAATTAAATTTGTATTGAATTTATAACTTATATTTTAGGTTTTGGAAAATGTATACCTCTAAACCACTCACCTTATTTTTATGATACTGGTTATCATATTTCTATTATCTAATTTATTTAATGAATAAAGTATCTTAAGTGCTTCCGTGCTTAGTAGTATTGTATACTCATGGATTATTATAGATATATTGCTAAAATGTTCTATAATCAAGAGTTATTGAAAATGTATTTATGTAAACACATTGTTTTGAATTAATATAATTATAAAATATTTGTGTTTTTGTATAATGATCAATTGATGTGTAGATCTCATAAGGGGTATTTTTTTATTATTAGTGAACAATCTGAGAAATTAATTAATATGTATAATTTATTGAAATAAATTGTCTGAAAATGGTTTTTTTATAATTTTAGTGGATGGACATGAAATAAATTCAATCGCCAAAGGCTTATGTTTGTTGGTTGGTTTGCAAAAAACTGATGAGAAAAATGATATTGATGCTATGTAATATAATTAACTAATATTCAATAAACTTTTATTTTCATAACAAATTATATATATGATAATTTTATTATTATTATAAATTGTTTTTCGTGTATGACCTACATCAGATACTTTGTTAATAACAGTCACATTAATTTTCAAACTATCTTTCAAGTTATAAAAATCAATTTCTTTAATTTTTATTTTTTTATTTTCTAAAAGAGATTTCTCTAGCTACCTATATTATAATTTTATATCAACTTAATGTAATTACCATTATTATTTTAATATTTTCATACAACGAGTTACTGCTAATTTATAATATTTATGTTTATAATTCATTTTTTACAAATATTGAAACTCGTTTGTTTTTGGCATTTGAAACACTTAACCAAGTAAATTAAGTAAAATTAACAACAAGTGAATACCAAGTGGAAATATTTTTCTAAACATTTTTTTTTTTTAATTCATATTAAAAATGTGGGAAGAACAATTTATTTTTGTCAATTGTGATGTTAATGGTCTGTAATATTATAAATCTATATTATTATAGGGTGCAGAAGATATTAAAGTTGCGACTTTTTGATCATGATGAAAAAAAATGGCATTGTAATGTAACTGAAATGAATTATGAAATACTTTCAATTAGTCAGTTTACACTGTGTTATAAGCTTAAAGGTAACAAATTAGATTTTCATATGACCATGCCTGGGAATCTAGCCTTAAAAAATTACCAATATTTTTTGGATACTTTGCGTAGACATTACAATGAAAATAAAATTAAAGGTATAAGTATAGTTATTTATTTTTTATATAAAAAGTTTAAAGATAATGAATTCAATTGTATGACTATTTATTTAAAAATTAACACTTCATTAATGCTTAAGAGTTTAATTTATGAAATAAAACTTTAAAAAATAAGGGATAAATTATTATTTAATTAATTTCACTATCGTTAAAAATATTAGGACACATATTTTAAATAGAAATTGTACTTGTTTCTGCCATACCGTTAAATATTATAGTCTTAAATCAAATATTATTTGAATCTCATGTGATATTGTCTTATTCTACACATTCATGATAACTCAAGATAATAGGAATTTCCCTTGACATTGATAGAACATATATTTTACTCATATTAATTCAAATATCCACTATATTGAAATGTTCTAGCGTTATAACATAGTATTTTAAAATTAGTAGAATTTATAACTATTTAAAATCATTGTGAATAATATATAAAATAACCATCTAATTATTCATATTGTTTCTTTTAGAAAGTATATTTTTTCTGTGTATTTGTTTATGTGACTATAACACAAATACCCATCTATTTTCCTTATTATATTGTTTAATTTAATTTCTAATTTCTATTACAATAGTCATAACTTTTTCTTAAATGTTTTATGTTATCCTTACATTTACAATTACTATGCATTTTAGATGGAGCATTTGGCGAAAAAATGGAAGTTGAAATCGTAAATGACGGACCAGTGACTGTGCAATTGGAATTTCCTAATCCTGGAAAAAATGTTTTAGAAAAATTAGACAAGGATAATGGAGTTGATTGAATGTAATTTAAAAATATTTATTTTTATCTGTTAAATTTGAGCTACTATGGTGGCCACATATATCGGCTTAACTCCAACAAGCTTACCAACGCTTAGGTGTTCTCTTCCCAATAATAAATAGGAAATCAACTATTAGTAAAAAATGCTCACTTATTATATATAAGCAAGTACTGAGACTCTTAATCTTTACACATGTCCTTTATGGGGCAGTTGCGGTAAAAGTCACTTAAACAAAATAAAAATTTTCCAAAACAAAATACTTCGCATAATAACAGATGTTCCTTGGTTTGTACGCAACCAAGCACTGCATAATGACTTGAAAATCCCCACCTATTGACAAACACATAAACTACATAGCAAGCAGATTCTTTCACTCACTTATGAAATCATATGGTGCAATGAATTATGACTTAAAAGTAAGTCCTTTAAATATTCGCTATCTCAAGAGAGGAAGACCCCACGACCGCAAAGAGCGACATCCACGATCAGTCACTGTCTAATTGGATACATCATGCTAGATAAACACCTAAATTAAACTTATTACTAATAAATTTATTATCATATTATTATATTGCAATTATTTTAAAGAAAAAAGAAAAATTGTAAAAAAAAAAAAATTTGTAAAAAAATTGTACATTATCAATAGGCTTAGATAGCTACGTAACTAGGAATACCTTAATCTAATAATAATATTAAAAAAAAAATAAAAAAAAATTAGCTACTATTTTTATTAAAAATAGCTTTATTAATAAGTACCTATTTTTAGGTATTTATTTTTGTATTTATTTTTCACAAATTGTGTGTAAAAATATGCTATTAAGTGTTAATAAAAATTAATTTTATCGTGAACCACTGTTGCTATGAAGCTTGAATGTTAAAGATTTAAGTCTCTAAATAAGTCAGATATTAAATACTTCCAGCGCAAAACAAATTATTCTTAAGATAATAATTATAGAGGTTTTGGTTTTTACTCTCTGGTTTCATATGTAACTATAGACATTGTATATGTTCGGTTCTGTACAGCTCTTAATTGGGTCGTGAGACTTGGATTTTAGTATCCATCGATTGTCTGTTTTTTTTACAGCCCATTGCCCAAGACGAAAGAAACGTGACTTTGTAATTATGTGAATTTGAATAGAATTATGCTCATGTGAGCTTCTGAGTTGTGCATTTGTAATGTGAGGGTATAAGCAATGGCAGACTTGGCAAAATTAAAGAAGGGGGACTTTGTTTACTTTATAGAAATAGCGTCCCCAAGACTTATGCGTTATAATTTTAACATTATAATAGTAGGGGGGTGCTAACATTTTTGAAAATTAGTCGGGGTACTCCGTCCCTTTGCGTCCCCCTCAATTCAAGCACTGGCTCTAAGTCGAAACGAATATGCAATGTTAACTGGTCATTTCATGCACAATCGGTGCTTAAAGTTTATTTTAACTTGCGTTCAAATTTAATTTTGCTGTTTTGTTTTTCATTTTAATTTTATTAAATTGTCCATTTTAATACGTCAGTACGTTGCCTACACTGATCCGGTTTCTGTTATCAGTGCAAGTTTTGTTTACGTTTCAGTTGTTAAAAGAATCACTATATTTAAAATAAAAAATAACCATTTGTATATTCTACAAATTTTAAACTGATCGTACAACTATTAATATCTTGAATTATATGAAATTATAAGATTTTAATTGGTAAGTTGGTTTTTGTAACGGATGCAATGGTAATATTGTCTGTGTTTGGAATGACTTTGTTAAAAAAATAAAAAACTAACTTGTCCGTTTGACCATAACTTTAATAATTATAAAATAATTTTTGTTGGTATTCATAGGTCAATCGCTAAATATATTTGTGTTCCGCATGTGCCTTACAGTATTTAATGAAAACGTACTAAATCAATTTTTTGGAAGGTAGCAGTTCAATGGATTACGAATTCAAAATTAAGACAGGTAATGAAAGAGCTAAAGTTGAAGAACTTTTCGACTACGAAGGATGTAAAGTTGGAAGAGGTACTTATGGTCATGTTTATAAAGCAAGAAGAAAAGATGGGTGTGTATATTTTAAATAATAATAATTTTAATAAATTATTATATTATAATTTTGAAAAATGTACCTATTTGATAATGTTATAACAACACAAATGATTATCCAAAGTTTAATTGTATATTTTAATAGATATTTGATATTTTATTGGTTAGATCATGAATATGTAGTGTATTTTTATCATTTTAAAATTTACACTTTTTTTATGGTTATTGAATATCCTATCCTTTTTCTAGGGACAATAGTAAGGACTTTGCATTGAAACAAATTGAAGGTACTGGATTATCAATGTCAGCATGTCGTGAAATCGCTGTATGTATTTAAATATAATTACTGATTAAACCATAGTAAATGTATTTCAAAATAATATGTTATATTCTAGTTATTACGTGAGTTGAAACATCCAAATGTAATTAATCTAATTAGAGTATTTTTATCACACAATGATAGAAAAGTGTGGTTACTTTTTGACTATGCAGAACATGATCTTTGGGTAAGGTTAACTTGAATAATGAAAATTAATATTTATTTTATTGGTTATAAATAATTGTATTGATTTTTAGTAATTTTATTTTTATAAAAGTAACTAATGTTATTGAATATTGTCATTAATTATTTTATTTTGTTATAGCATATTATTAAATTTCATAGAGCAGCTAAAGCTAATAAAAAACCAGTCATGGTTCCTAAAGGAATGGTGAAGTCATTACTGTTTCAGATCCTAGATGGAATACATTATTTACATTCTAATTGGGTGTTACATAGAGATTTGGTAAAAATGAAAAAGTTTTGATTATGTTTTTAACTAATATTTCTGGTTTTATTTTTAGAAACCAGCAAATATTTTAGTGATGGGTGAAGGTCCTGAAAGAGGACGAGTTAAAATAGCTGATATGGGGTTTGCTCGGCTTTTCAATGCTCCATTAAAACCACTTGCTGACCTTGATCCAGTTGTGGTCACTTTTTGGTATCGTGCACCTGAACTTTTATTAGGTGCAAGACATTATACAAAGGCTATTGGTAATTAAAAAGTTGCATAAATCTTAACTGTTATTTTTTGTTTGAAATTATTTTGTAATTGGCGAATAAACATAAAATTTAATTTAAAATTAGTTAAATAAGCATGTTTATTCTATTTCTATTTGGCTTATATTTAATTTTTGAAGTCAAAAGTACTGATATAGTAAGAATGAAATCTCGAAATATTGCTGTTTTGATTCAATTTTATAATCATGTATGTGTTTATATATTTAATATTATATATTTTATCAAGATTAAAAAAAACAAAAAAAAAAATAGTTTCTTTAGGTACTATTTTATCAAATATTAATTTTAATTTTAAAATCTTTATTATTGAAATATTTTTTCATTTGTAAATTATAAAAGTTAATTTTAAAATGTTAACATAATTAATACCTATTTGTTTCATTATTTAAAAATGTATTTATAAATGAATGAGTATCATAATTGAATCGGTTATTTCGAAAAGGCCATTTTTTCACACATTTTCAAAACTAGTTTTATATGATAGATGTTTTTAACCAATAATAATGCATATTTTTTGCGATATCGTCATATCATAGTTGGTTTTATATAAGGGACTTAAATAATTTAACAATTTTTCAATTTTTGTCTAAATTTAATTTTCATCTCTAAAAACAGTTTTTCACGTTTCCTAACAATTTTTATTTCATGGAGATATAGTTTTTTCGAAATGACCGATTCAATTGTAATATTCTACTAATTATAATGACCAAGTATTAAGTATATTTATAATTGATTGAAGATGTTTAAATATTTCTAATAATATCCATATAAATAAAGTCTTATCAAGAGTATATTGTTATTATTTAATAGAAATAACCGCTAAATAATTTTATTTTTGTACACTAATAATGGTATATGTTAAATATAATTTAGACATTTGGGCAATTGGATGTATATTTGCTGAATTGTTAACATCTGAACCTATTTTTCATTGTCGTCAAGAAGATATCAAAACAAGTAATCCATATCATCATGATCAATTAGATAGGTGAGGAATAACTAAATAAAAAAAATATTTAATTTTAAAAATAATAATGATAATAATTTTTTATTATATTTCATAATAACTGTGTTGAATTAGTAGGAAATAAAATATTAGTACATGAGCTGTATATTATGTAGCTATTGATTTACCTTTCAAACATTATCTGGGCCTAAAATATTTTTACAAAACTAAATATGTCTATAATAACTAACAAAAATTTTTTTTGTATCAAAGTTCAATTTTTAGAAATATGTATAATATTACTATAATCTTTGTTACAGAATTTTTAATGTAATGGGTTTTCCTCAAGAGAAAGATTGGGAGGATATAAAAAAGATGCCTGAACATCAAACTTTAATGAAAGATTTCAAAAGATCAAAGTAATAATAATATTAAATAAAATTATAATATTATTTTGAAAAATAAGACTGAATTATTTAAGAAAAAAAATAATTTTAAATTATTCTAGTTATTCAAATTGTTCTTTGGTGAAATATATGGACAGACATAAAGTAAAACCAGATAGCAAAGCATTCCATTTGGTATGAGTAAAATAAAATATTGTAATTTGAAATTCAATAAATTATATGGATTTTATAGTTACAAAAACTGTTGCTGATGGATCCTAACAAAAGAATTACTTCAGAACAGGCTAAACAAGATTCATATTTCCAAGAAGATCCTACACCCACTTCTGAGTATTATTTTAATCAATTTAAAGTGTGACATAATTTAAAGGCAATATTTTTCAGTGTTTTTGCTGGTTGTCCAATTCCATATCCAAAAAGAGAATTTCTAACTGATGATGATCAAGATGATAAAGATAAACGTCAGCAAGCAACAAATGTATGTTTTTTTAATGATATCTATAATATAAAAAATTGTGTTTGTGTGTGTTTTTATCAAAGCTTAGTTACAACAAATATTTTTATTTTGAAGATTTATATAAATTATATTTATGTATTATATTTTTTCAACTCCAAAAGTATTACAATTTTTAATATTTGAAAGTCAAAAATTGTATAATATATTAACAGGGCATAAAAAATACATACCTATTTAATTAGCTTCTCACTTATGTTAATAGCAATATTTCATCCTATAGAACTAAAAAAAGTAGAATGTTGATAAATATTTTGTATGTTCCTGATGGAATGTATGTAATGTTGGAGAATTTAAAATAAAATTTAAAAAAGTCTGTTATATATACAGTATATTATGGATATTTATGTATATATATAAATAAATGAAATGTTCTTTTTTATTTATGCAATAATAATTAAAACATGAAATTATAAATGTATTTTAGGAATGAAAGGTAAATATATAATAGTTAATTTTTTAAAAACCAGTACTTTTTATTGTTAAAATGTATGTAATTAGGATTAAATTTATTTCATGGTGTTTTAAATATAAAATTTTCAATGCATGACATACTCTTTAACTTTTCTATTGCTTTATAAAATGTATTTCTTTTAACAAATGAAATATTTATAAATGAGTATAATAATTGAACTTGTATGCTCTTCAAAAATGTATGAACTAAATATTTTTTAATTAGATTTTTACCTTGTATTGTGGACATTACTTAATCGATAGTTCTTAAACACATTTATAATAAGAAAAATATATTACCTATATTTGATAGTAATGCTCAGGAATGCAGTAATCGCTTAACCAGTAATGCTTATGTTAATAGTTTGCATAATTGGCATTGCTTTAGTTACACTTTGATAGAGGTAACACTTAAAGATAATAATTATTATGCGTTAAAATATTGCTATATTTAATATGCCGGTAACTAAAAAGTACATTTTAATGTAAAATTCTTGATTTATATTTTAATATTTATTTTCAATATCATTATAAAAAAAAAAATTAAATTAAAAATTATTTATTGGTTTAAACTTGTAAATTAATATATAAATAAATAAAAAAATAGTTAATATATAAAAATAAATAAATAAAAACTTAGCTTGGAGTATTATTATATTTGTAAAGTACGACCAGTTTTGAATTAAAAATTCATCGTCACAAAGTCAATTCATTTATTTAAATGATTAATTTTTAATTCGAAACTGGTCGTACTTTACAAATATAATAATACTTCAGGCTAAGCATAAATTTTTTTATTTATGTATCTATATCATTGTTATTATTTATAAAGGTTTTATGTAGCTTACATTATTTCAAATGTATGTAGTGTTTAATAAGTTTATATGTATTTTTCATTATGTTTGATGTTTTATATAATAATGTTTTTATATTTTTGTGTAATCTTTATCAATAGATTAGATTTTAAATTATATTATTCAAAATATTAACCAAAAGCATTCAAAGAGTAGAACATTTTTTTATATTTGCAGTATGATTAATGAAAACTTGAAATTTAATATTTGATTAAATTCTTCTTCTCAAATTTAAAATACAAAAAATATACAATTTTATTTTTATATCGATTTATTTTACATTTTATATTTACTCGAAAAATAAATTATATACATTTTTAAATTTTATGAATATTTCTGGAAGCTTCATTTTTTAACATTTATTATTAAATTAATAATTTTGGACTTGTAGAAAATCTATAATTTTTTACTCTAATATAGGAGTTCATTAATATTTGATAATTTATTACAATTTAATCAAATAATATTATAACTGAAAATATAGAAGCTGTACATATTTTAAAATATAAATATAATGTAATGAGTGATTCAATTTTTAAATGAAATATTTCCTTATTTTTATATATGATAATTGCATCAAAATAACTATTTAATATTAATTATAATAATTTAGGGCTTTTGTTATAAAATCTAGTACACCAAAGGTAATAATGTACCACTTTATCTGATATTTAAAAAATTTATTTTATTTTTATCACATTTTCCTATAAAATTTTAGATACTTATTTAAAAAAAAAAAAACATATTCCATTGCCTTAGTTAATAAGGCTAGTTATATATTTATCAATTATTTTTAAAAATAGTCCTGAGACACAAATACAACACCTTTGTATCACGCTAATATTGTTCTGGTCAGTGGCGGATTCAGGGGAGAGGCCTCCTGTCAATTTTCTATTGACAATTTTTTTTATGTTATTACAAGTATCGTTTAAATAGAAAATACAATAAATAAGAATGATACTACTTATAAGTATAATAATTATTTAAATTTAAACTAGATAGATATGTTTGCTAAAAAACATAAATGAAGACTTCAACTCGACCTATAAGACTATAAAGTATGAGAATCTATGAAGATATTTTTATTTATTAATGACTATATACATGAATAATAATTTGCCTATAGATATAAATTATTATTTTCGTGTGTGATATGTAATCAACATTATATTAAATATATTACGAATTTTGTTTAAAAATAAGATTATCTACTATTAATTATGATTAAAAAATCATTATACAATTTATATGTACCCCCCCCCCCCCCATCAAAATATTCAAAATCTGCCTCTGATTCTGGCTAATGAGATTATAAATTTTTAATTTGTTCTGTTTAGCAAAAAATATTTTTAACAACTCGAAATTGAATAAATAATAAAATGAATAATGAAAATGAATGGATAATGAAAAAAATAAAAATAAAATAATGACATTTTGTCAAATATTTGAAATATTGAGATGTATGTGGTATAGAATATTTCAGTGACATTTTACTTTTTACATGATTAATATTTTATTATTGTTTTTACTGCATGTAAATGTATATATTTTATTGTATTGGTTAGGGTGCACACTCTGATCAAGCTGGCAGTCATCACAGTCATCAACAACAACATGCTGCTAATCAAAAACGAATGCGTATGAATGGACTTGGTCAACATCCTAGTGTTAATCCTGGAACAGTTATGTCACAAAATGTTCAACAGCAACAACAACAGCAACAGCAACAGCAACAGCAACAACAACAACAACAACAACAACAACAGCAGCAGCAACAACAAGTTCAACAACAACAAGTTCAACAGCAACAACAACCACAACTCTCACAACAACAACAACAACAACAAAACTCACAACAACAACAACAACAACAACACCAACAACAACAGCAGCAGCAGCAGCAGCAGCAGCAACAACAACAACCACAGCAACAGCACCAACAAGACTTCCATCATGTGCCTCAGCATCAACAGCAAATGATGTATTCTCAAGGTAATCCTAATGGACCGGGCCCAAATTATTCACAAAGGTTTTAATTTTTGATTTTTTTCTTTTTTGACTGACGAATTTTTCTATCAATACCTTTGTGCGGTATATTTTATAAATGTTTAGAACTAAGTTGAATACTATACGATTCTACTAATTGTCACGACTAAGGAATTTGTTCAAATAATTAGGTTGAATTTCTCTGCCTGTTAAGTTGAGATTGTACTGTGTTATTTTCTTAATAAAAATAACTATTATAGCATTCAATTAGTCGTTAAATTATTTGTCTTCACACGCTTATAAATTAACCATTTTTATTCTCGTTTATTTAATATGATTTAATATACTCATTGAAGTATATTTATTATTATTATTATTATTGTATTGGATCGAAGTATAAAGATATTTTAAATAGTCGTGTCAAATATTATTGTTATAATTCTCGGTACAAGCGCACGGTTGAGTTATTGTTTAGTTACATTTCTCAGGCTTTGTATTTGAAAATTAATTATTAATTTTCACTCGGTACATGATAAATTCGTATTTTATAGGACCAGAGAGGTTTTCAATGAACATTGATGTACATGAATAATAAACGTCACGTGTTAATCGTCAGCGTTTATAGCGTTGGTACGGGAGTATGAAAATATATTCTTACGGGCGAGATTTCCCACTGCAATTCCCTGTGAACATGGTATTGCGTCAACTAGAATCATTATAATATCTCAAGGAGTATAATATAGTCGTATTAATTTGACGACGATGGACGAAGTACATATTACATACCTGTCCGGTTCTCACGACACGTTAATTTTCAAAAGAAAAAAGTTAAAAATCGTTTCTCTTTTTTTCATTCCATTAATTGCATATTAATGATAAAAAAAAATAATAAAGCGAAAAAATCGTTTTAGCGCTCGGCTGATTTGTCACCTATTATATTGCGCGTTATATACCAAAGCGTCGAGTATTTCCTGTATCCCTTCCAACCACCATCGGAGCGGTCTTGAGCGATCCATCCGATTTGGAATAACGACGTGCTCGGATGTATGGTTTTCCGGTGTTGGCAAGCGCAGCACACTACTTACCTATACACAAAAACTTTTATGAGATCGTATGTGTGTGTGTGAGCGTAATGGGTGGGTGTGTTTATATAACAATAATAGGCGAGTGTGCGTGTGTGCGCGTTCAGCGGTTACAACAATGTACACGTTTTGGCATCCAAACGTATTTGCGGTAGGTATAATATTACTCGCTACAGTGACGGAAAGTACCATCGTATAGTTAAATATTATGTAAATATCTACTCTCTCGGTTAGATATGTTAGACGATCTGTGTAAGATACTCGATGCCAAATTATCGCATAGAGTTAGCATCGTCTTTTACTTTTTTACCACCGTTTGACAAACTGTTTGGCTATTAATATTTGTATGCACTATACATATTTCTTTCTAGCAAACGTGTTTCAAGAAGCCCGAATAATTGATTTCCATTTGTCCAAATGCGCCCTTTTGAAAACGGCTCACGGCTCGAAGAACGCATACGGTTTACATCACCTCCTCCTAAATAGGTCTCAACTTATGTACATTATACACCACCACGTACTGCTGCAAGTACGTGATGAACAATAATGTGTGTATGTGTGTATATTTGTTTTATATAAATGACGAGTACTTATTGTTTAACTATATTACTAATATAAGCGTAGCCTATTGTTAATCAGATACAACGAAGTAAAAAAAAAAAAATAAAAAAAACGGGCAAAGATACTGATAATATTTATAACTATATTATAATATACGTTTGTATATGAATGCATTTAGGACGTGCGCGCGCGTATAATAAACATATATATGCAAGTTCATTCGTCAAAATTAGATTGACCACTTCATGTAATGCATCCCCGACGATCATGCTCCGCCCCTACGCCTGACAGACGCCTTGGGGTCGTCTGGTCTAAAATGAATGCCTGGCTGGAAAAGGGGGTCACACCAGCTACAAACGTCCTTGGGTCAATTGATCGAATCCCTTTTTTCCTCACCTTAGCGACGGTGCTTTTTTCCACCCTCCTCCTTCCAGCACCCCACTGTCGTCTCTCACTCACACTCTTCCCAGCGCCCTCCCACCTATCGTTTTCACCTCGTGCACATGCCGTGCCGATACACAAAAATCGTATTATTACCGATTAATATTACACATATACAAGCACAATATGATATTTGTATGAATAGCGATTAGATTTTGTTTATTGCATAGTGTAGGCTACATTATACTATTACCTACATTATATTGCGTTTAAGGTGAGAAACGTGCCAAAGACTATAACTAACACGGAAATTTGACTGGTACATTTTTTATTTGTTTTCGGTAAAGTCACAATTTCCCTTTTCAAATTTGTACGGGATAAGCCGGAAATTTGTTGAAAACAAAAAAATCTCTTAACCGTCCTGCACGATTTAGTCTCAGATAGTTTACGATTACCTGTGTACAGGGGCGGCTTGATCATGAATTTTGTGGTTCACTGAACCACCAACAATTTTGGAGTGGGTGTCATTTTAATAGGTGGGTATTTAGTCTTGGCGTCTGGCAGCGGTAGGTAATATAAAATTGGTAATTTAATAAAAATTAGGTAAGTTTTTGTATCTAGTATGACTTTTTGGGGTAGGTGGTTAATTAATTAGTAAGAGGAAGATACCGCATATTAATTACATAACTGTGTTCAGGAAGAGGTAGCAGTGCCTGTTGCAGCTTCTCCGTAAATGCGCCTGGGGAATTTCAATATTAAATTTTGACTAAACGACAAAAATCATGAAATCCTCTAAATTATTTTGTTAATAATTCATAAACTTTTAATTTTTACACTTGAGGCTTGACAATCAGTTTGTCGTGATCGTTCAGTATGAACTGATGTTCATTACAGTTGTCCGTTATTGCTAATTTATTAAAAAAAAAAAATAGATGAATTGTGCTGTTGGGTATTATTGACTACAGGTCATCTCCTCCTCATTTTTACAGCATTACCAGGTATCGTATTATTTTCCTATTTAGTATGATGTCCATCGAATTAACCGCGTAGAGACCCGAAACACCGCACTTGGGAATTCGGAATTTTTCAAAGGAAATGTGGCACGGAATTATGATTTAATTGATAGTTTGAATACAAAACGTTTATTGGATATCATATTAAATATAGCACAGAATGTTGGTTCGAAGATGTGTTCAACACGTACAATTTGTCAACCGTTACCATACATATTACATTTTACCCAATTTGTAAAACGGTTTAAAATATAATTAGTTTTAAATATAATAATGAGTAATTCAATTTTATATTTTAAATTTAGTATTTCTCTCTATTTTTTTAAACGCGCGCGATTATGTCGTGATACTACCGACATTACTGATTTTGATCACATGGGGCTGCAGATATTGGAAGAAAAATCGGGCGGATAATTTTAGTTCATCCAGAATCGTCAGTACTACCTATCATTTGTTATTATTCTGATCATCTTCGAAGATCGGCTAAGTTGAACGCACTGAACCCACCGCGTCTGACCTCGGGACAGGAGAACGAAGAGAAAAATAATTTTCCAATTTTTTTTTCGCTGACTATTATAGCGTTTGAGTAATACAATTTAATTGAAATTTGGTACTGAGCTGAACAACACGAACTTTAATCGTGGTTTATGCTAAAATGTTTATTGGATACCTATGTAGCGTGCCCAGGGCCGATCCAATGTGGTAGAAAAATAGGCAACCACCTAGGGTGGCACTAGTTTAGGAGCGGCGAATTTCGAATGAACCAAATCGATTTAATTATTATACTATCTAATATATTCCATCCTTTTAAAAAAATGAACTTTTAAATAGGACAGCGAAAAACCTAAGGCCGGCCCTGAACATGTCAAGTGGTAAGTGGACACGATTTAATAGTTTAGTAATATGTGGCATATTACCGGTGCCGGATTTAACCATTGGGTCGCTCTAAACAAATTGCCGCTTTTTAATATAAAAATTTGGTAGTCTAAAAAATGATATTAAAGCATACAATCATAGTTGTTTCCTTACTTACATTTTTAATGATGTAAAATAAAAATATACAGCTGCTATAAAAATGCATTCATAAATTCATATGAAAAACTTAATTATAAAAATATGATATAAAATATAATGATTAAAAATATGGTAGTAAAAAATGCTTAAATAGTTAACTTTAAATTATATTCAAAATTAAATAGTTAGTGCCTAGTTACTATCGGCTTTAATAAAATAAAACATTTTATAATTAGTTGCATTTATTTTAATTCTAGTTACATATAATAAAAATGTAATATTAAAAATTATTTGCCGCCTTAAGCACTGGCTTATAAGGTTAGCACTGGCTTATAGCACTGGTTTATTGGGAAATACGGCACTGCATATTACACCTATATAATCAACATTATCAACGACCAAACAAAATATGTAATTTTGTGTGTTTAGTGTAAGAATATTTGAATTATTTTTATTCATTATACCTAGTCATTACGAGAGTTGACAATTTTTGAACTAACGTTTTTCAAACTTAATTTTATCACTGAGGACAATGATACTGTAATCATACCGTTGTCCTTTCCGCGTCCAATGGAGCCTAACCTGCGACTATTTCCGTAACACCGTAAAGTATGTGTTGTTAGTGAATTATTTCATTCGATCGACCGTGAACGGTGTGAACTATTACATTCAGTAGCGGATTTAACGGTCGTTTATAACGGGCAAATATAACCGATCATTAAAAAGGAATAAACATAAAACGGCGAGACAAGCGGCTACATCCAGTTCAGTCAGTAATTATTTTATACCTTTAAAGTAGATGATAACACATTAACACTTGCAGCAAAAGAGGTAACTTTTGTATACCATACAATTTCGCATTCTCAGAGTTTTAATTTAATGACGTGTACATCTACTTTAATTCATAAGCTATTTGACGAAAAAAATTCACAACTGTTCGAATTAGTTCAGCTCGAGCAATCGTACAGTGCATACGTGCAGTTCATTGTTCCCGAGCTATGTTTATACATTATTCGTTAATCTTATCGGTTTACGATCTAATTTTTTTTCAAATTCAATATAAAGTCGCAGCAAACTTACAACTCATACTATCAAACCACTTTAGCACCTTCAATCATCGCTACATCAAAAAAAGTAATATATATTTAATTAACTAATTAATTAATAACAAGAGAGAAAAAATTATCTATATCAGTCACTCCAGGCACCGTTAACG